CTAATGTAATTGCAAGGTCAAGAACTGTAACATACATTATACAGCACAACGCAGACAAAAATGTTGAGAGGAATGCGGAAGAAGTTCATGATGGTGCTCCGGGCCTCCTCAGGGATGTACTGAGATCTCATCTTCATGATGGACGGCCAGAATAGTCCTACACAAGCCTCAAAGGCACAGAATCCAAGAAGCTGGATGCAACCAGCAAAAGAGATGCTCCCTCCTTTCACATTGGATGGTGCTACCAAGAACTGTTTGAAATTAGCAAAGTTAGGGAACAGCACGACAACATAGAATAATAAAGAAAACAATACACTGGAATCCTAACATACACTGGTCACAATGGGAAGCAGGAGAGAGGCAGCTGAGATGGCAAAGACAATCTGCATATAGCTCTCGACTCTAGGTGATTGGCGAGCCATCAACCGGGATGCAAGGGAGCTTCCGAGCATTGAAGACAACATGAAAGTCGCAAAAATAAAACCATGTGGAATGTCCTCGTCATTGGGGCTCAGAGCAGGAGTCCAGAGGAACACAAAGGTATACATAGAACCTTCAAACAGAGACTGTATAGCACCCAGTAGCGCGATTTTCTCATCTGAACCACATAAAAAAAAGGTAATAATAAATGAGGCAGAACATAACAGAAAAATAGACCATGAGGTTGGAAAGGGAATGACAAGAAATCGCAGGACATATGTAGGCTTAAACACCACAGCCAACCATTAAACATACACAATTTATCATCCAAAAATATTAGCTTAAGTTTATAGTATACCAGAAGCAATGGCAACAGCAGCACCCCGGAACTGGGTAAACAAGTCCTTGCTCTCTGAAGGATCTCCATAATTCTCTGTCCAAGTGCACAAAATCACAAACATTCCAATTGTGAGAAAGCATGAAGCAGCATCGAAGGGTGCCACAGGCCCAAGAGCCAGTGCATCAACCAGTGTATTTCCAAGCAACCCAGCCAAAATAGCAACAACACCATTGCCAAGAAATATTGCCTTTGAGAATGTAATTGACAGCCACTGTTGTTCAAAACCTCTCTGCACAGTCAAGATGAAGATCACATATAAGATTTATTGATACAAAGGGTTAAAATTTCGAAATCAATCAAAATTTTCACAGTTCACAACCCCAACCAAGTGAAACAGCGCCTAGTCTACCTCATTGCCTATGTGTAACAAATAATGACATCCAAAAAAATTACAAAGGCAACAAATTTTGCACCCCAAGCAAGCAAGTTTTTTCTAATATAAGCCAGTGAGCACGATAATAGTACCCTTCGAAGACAAATTCACCCTGTTGAGTGAAGTGACCATCCACTAAAACTATACATCTAGAGTGGATCTGTAAGCAAACAATCTTTAAAAAAAGGATCTTTAACGAAAAGCTCCCGGTACTGTTCACTTTAACGAAAATCCACATTTTTACACTAAAAAATCAATTCTGATACTATTCACTTTACTCCTTATTTTGTAAGTTTTCAAGTCCTTTTCCTTAGTTTTCCTTAAAAAAAAAAAAAACAAAGGGCAGAGCAACGATCCCTTACCTTGTTGTGTTCTGCAACAAGCCATGATTCAAATGCTGAAAATAGAAGTGATGTGGCAATACCGCCCAAAATACGCCCCAACATCAAAACTTTGTACTGAGGAGAATGCTTGGTGATGCAGCTCAGTATGTAAGTTATACAATAAGTAATGCACGCCCTCTTTCGGCCCCTAAATTCACGACACCATCAGCGAAAAGTTATTGAATAATCATGGAACCATTTAACATATGACAGCGCGAAAACTCACTGTTTGTCTGCCAGAGATCCAACAATTGTTCCAAACAACATGGAGGACCCAAAACCAGCAATGAAAAGCTGTCCGATGTCGCCTTTTCCGTATCCGTACGTACTGTACAGGTAGTAGACATAAGGACCCTGCAACCAGTCCCCAGCTATCGCCATAAAACCATTAATTTGTCAGTAATTTAAACCAATTCTTCATTCAATTAGGGAAGTTCAAACATAATTAGCAAAACCCCCTCAAATTAAAGTGCAGCTCAGATCCAACTTCCTATTAACCAATTAAGAACAAATCAAAAGAAAATAGCTAGAATTAAAGCAATGCCAGCATCATTTTTCAACCAAGAAAACGATTAAAAATCCCAAAAATCTTATCAAAAGCATGCCCAGATCAATCAAAACTATCGGAAAACAGATTGAACAAGCAGATCTCGCAAATGGGCACTTAAATTTCCACTTAAAACTCCATAAAACTCACTAGTTGCATCAGATCGGATCAAAATTCATCAAATCAAGACACATGCATTTATACAAAAACGCATACAAACACGTACGCATTGAGAGAAACGATAATTTGGGTTAGATCCAGTGGGCTTACCCATCATGAGGGAGTAAACGAAAAGGTAATTGTTCTTGAAGACGTTGAAAGTTGACGGGGTGTTGATTCGGTCTTTGTTGCTCTTGCTGAGCTCCGCCGCGGCCACCACCGCCGCTAGTATCCCGAACACCATGTAGTAGAAAACCTCCATTGTTACTCTCTGCACTCTAGAGAGACAAAGGGAGAGGGGAGAGAGAGAGAGAGAGAGAGAGAGAGAGAGAGGAGAGTTTTAAGGTACGTGATGAGATAAATGGATTGTGTAAATATAGCACAAAGGAAGAAGATGATGGAGCTGCGATCCTCTGCATCAGCCTCTGTTTCTATAATTTGTAATGATTGGTCATAGAGTTGTATGTTTGACTAAACTGTGTTGACTTTGGAAACTGGTGGGGAGAAGAGTGCGAGTGCAGGAGAATCCCTTGAGAGAGATCGCGGGAGCGACCTACCAGGACGTGGTTGGAGTGAGTGACACGTGGCGACATCACGTTGCGTGATGTAGAGATAAATAGTGTCGGTGGTGATCTTTTTTGTGGGACCAGGGATGTGTGAGTGGGTGATTTAACAGGAACAGATCTCAAATCGAAATCAGACGGTTAAGACTTAAAAGTAATGTCGGATCTTGTACCCCAAGTCTGGGTATGACGTAGACGATTTCCCTAACTTTTCAATTTTTTTATTTTTATTTTAACAAAGGATATTATTTACAATAAGGAGAATAATTCAAATTCATCTTTGACGATAATCAAATCTCAACATCTCACTTACAAGTGAAAAATAATATCACTACACCGTAGTATTACGTGACACTAATTTGATGACTTTGGACTTATTGCAAAAATAAAATGTAAAATAGAAGTTATTTATTTTTTGTTTAAGTGAGAGTTATGACCTAAGCAAGTCTAAGTGCTTTTTCTTATTTTTCAAATGCTTATGGATTAAATAAATCGTGACAGTAGTTAGTCACCGAACGACTAAGCGACGTTAGATGGAAACTTGTATAACACTAGTTACAACTTACAAGTGAGTTTCTCATGTTATTCTTATAGTTTCTATCAAATTCCCACTAAGTTGTGAGCTAATTCGATATGCTTTTATAAGAGTTGCCAGACGAACAATGTGTTTGTTACCATAACTTTTTCTTCCCTTCATAATATCAAATATTAATTAAGATGTTATATAACTTATATCCTTATCATGTAATTTTATTTGATTCGTTGTTAGGCCAATTTGAAATTAAAAAAAGGCTAGCAACTTAATTACAACAACTTTTTTGGTTTTCAAAATTAAAATATGGACAATTTTGGATACATAGGTGTAACAGTTAATGTATTCAATATCTTAAAATGATCACATCTGAATAAACCTTTTAATAATGAATGGTCCAGAATATCTTTTAATACCTTAGATCTCAAGTCATGTGCAGATGGTTGATGCTGACTTATTAGAGTTAATAAGAAATGGGATTCCTTTAATTTAATAGCATATTCTTCCTATACTCTTCATATTGAGGACAGATTTTTCAATGTGTCAGAAATATAGTCTGGTAATTCAATTAAGATTTTGAGAGATTTTAATTCTTTTAATGAATTTAGGGGTATTCAATCAAGATTTTAAGTGTTTCTCTGAAAGTCAAGGTGTATTCAATTAGAATTTTAAGATAGTTCATTAAAATCCTTAGAAATCCGAGTGTATTCAATTAGGATTTTAAAGAAGTTTATAACATTTCAGGTGTATTCAATTAGAAATTGATTTCAAAGAATTTGAGAAAGTTTAGGAATTAGAATGAATTGGAGAGATTTTGTAGTGTATTTTAAGCATCCACAAATCTCACATATTCTCATGAGATTTTGAAGGAATTGAATCAAAATTTTATATGGAATCTCTAAAAATCAATTAAACTCCATAAATTCATGGATTTATAAATCCATTAAAATCTCTCAAATTCTCAATTGAATACACCCCTAAGTATCATAAACTCATAATACAAATGATTGGATACTTAAAAAAATAAAAATTCAACCACTTATATAATAACACTTAGTATATCGAGCCGTATTTCTGATACATCTAAAAATTTCTCCATTCCATGGAGCCTGGAGGAATGCTTCCTATGCAAATTATTAATGAATTATGTAACCTTATTTAATTCAGGACCGACGGCAACGGAATCTCTGTAGTCCTGCACTATGGGGCAATCAGAGTATGTCTCAGCGTCCCCAATGATTGGACCCCAAGCATTTATTTTTTCTTCAATTTTCGATTTCATTTTAAATAAGTAAACATGTCATACGAGCATAATTCATATGTAAAAGAAAAAAGATAAGGGTGAACGAAAGCCAGGTTGGAAGGAGCGTTGATCTTTTGTGAGTTGAAATCCTTTCCGAATTTTTGTGTCTAGAGCAAGCGGATCCAGAAATTCAAATTAGTCACTTTAAATCATGCGGTCCTCATTAGCTAGCCCATCCTAATGTCCCACTTCACAAAAAAAGTCTTTAAACGGTTCGGATTTCCAAGTCCGCCTGCTCTGGACACAGAGATCCTCTCAAGTTGATCCATGTTGGCTAATATGGATGGTCCTACAACAACATGACAAGAGGGGGGTGGCTGGTGAAGATGAAAGAAACTGAAACAGCAATAGACCCTCAGAAATATCCACCACAAACTCAGATTTGGGAAGAGAAAGAGATAAAATCCCATAACCATAATATCCATGGCCCTTCATTTACTTCACTCAAAAAATAAGCACTCAAAACATCACAAAACACCAATTCCAATTGTTTCTGTATTGAATTATTGAAATTATTGAACCAGATTATTTAGATTATAAAGCTGCTGATTTCTTGGGGTTTTTTGAGGCCATAAATATTTTTGGAATTAATGGCTTCTCTGACTTCGATCACACTGCACCAATCTTCTTCTTCCCCATTGGGATCATTGGCTTCAAAGCATTGTCACCATAACCAGAATTCCTGCTGGCATACAGCCGTCGGATCAGTCAGATCATCATCATCAGCATCCACAAGGCAACAGTTTTCATCACAAGGCCTCAGAATCCGCAGTGCAGCGACAAAACAAGCCAAAACGCCAGGTACAACTGTAAATCCTGTATTTACACATATCAGAGTAGTTTAGAATATCGCTTTGTCAAAAAAAAAAAAACGATGATAATTGTACTTTTAATCCACCCTCACTTGGTTTCTTGATTCTCTTGTTTTGGAGAGGTTAGCTGAAGAGGACTGGAAGACTAAGAGGGAACTTCTCCTACAGAAAAAGGTACACTTGTTTTCATCTGAAACAGATAAGAGTTCAATCAAAGAACGTAACACGTGAATATTCCGCTCTGATACCATGTTAGAACGTTAGCATTGAACTAAGAACAGAAGTAGAAGTTGATCTTCAACAATCACCAACGCCGAAAATTTGAAAAAAAATGTGCAGGTGAGGAGTGTGGATGTGAAAGAAGCTCTGAGGCTTCAAAAGGAAAACAACTTTGTGATTCTTGACGTGCGGCCTGAAGCGGAATTCAGAGAGGTTTGGTTAAGTTTTCTTCGTCGTGATTGCATTTGTCACCCTTGCCGTCATGCCAATCTCCGCAGGAAGTTCGAGTTGGCTTGACTAATTACCGGAAAATGAATGTCTATGGTCAATGTAGGCTCATCCGGCGGGGGCGATCAACGTGCAAATATACAGGCTTATAAAGGAGTGGACAGCATGGGACATTGCCCGCCGTGCTGCTTTTGCATTTTTCGGCATCTTTGCGGGCACAGAAGAGAACCCTGAGTTCATGTCAAGTATGTATAAGCTTTGCTTTGTCTACAGCTACAGAAACACCAAATAATAACAATGTTGTGGTAAATGATAACAGGTGTGGAATCGCAGCTAGATAAGAAGGCAAAGATAATAGTGGCTTGCGCCGCCGGAGGTACGATGAAACCGACCCAAAATCTCCCGGAAGGTCAACAGTCAAGGTGATTCAGTTTAATTTCTTCCTCCTTGAGACTTCGATTCATAGCGGAGTTGATCACTCACACCAGTCTCTGCAGATCACTGATAGCAGCCTACTTGCTCGTCCTCAACGGTTACACGAATGTCTTCCACTTAGACGGCGGACTTTACGCGTGGTTTAAGGAGGAGCTGCCATCGGTTGCGGAAGAAGAAGAGTGAAGTGCCGGTGGTGGTGGCGGTACGAAAGAAAGATGCTTCAACGGAGCAAAGTTTTGTTCATAAACGAATGACTGCGTGCGTGTGTGCCAATGATTTCTCGGATGCAAATTGAACGTTCTTGTAATGAAACTACCAACAATGCGTTGGTATTGCATCGAAATATAACAACGAAATCGGAAAAATCCATCCGTAATGTCTTCATCGTCTCCATAAAAAAAAAATAACAATAGCAGAAACAGCAGGCTCATAGTTCACAAAGGAAATTGGAGAAAATTTCACAAAGTTAAGAAACAGGATGATTGTTACATGATGTATCGTCGCAGCAACCGGAGATCGTGTCCTTTCCACCGCGCCCCATGTACACGACCCGTGACAATCCGGTATCAAAGTTGCAACTCATCTACAATAGCAAGTCATTGAAGCACGAAAAGGTCGAATTTTTTTAAGCTTTACAAGGTGCCATGAGAAAAGTTATCTTCTATTCCACATTAATGGATCAAATGGAGATAGCACACGAGAGATGAGTGATCATGACGTCTCTTGAAGCCTGTATATGGTGATTTCTTGCTGCTTGAAATACCGTCGGTCCTCTTCATCAACCAGAACAAGATTCAAATAATACTTCACGCTGAATTTGTTATTGATGTTGCGGTGTGTTGGTGTGAGTTCATAAGGGCTAAGAAACAATCTAATGGGAATTGATTCACCTGAAAAAGGCAAGCATGTGCATGTAAACCATTCATCTATGGACAGTTGAAGAATTGCAGCAAGATTTAGACGTAACTCAATATTTCCCAAAAACTTCATTCACGTTTACCAGACCATCCGAATTGAAAATACAAATGTGCTAAAAAAATTTCAAATTACACAGCCATCACCCACCTGCATGAGCATAAACTGGATATATAAGAAAGCGGAAGAGTTAATGAACATACCTCTTACTGGAGCACCATCCATCAACTCAAACTTAGCAAGTGTCTCTGTCTCAACATGGGTGTTGGGCCCTGACCCTGTTGACTCTCGACGCCTGATCTCCAGATCCATATTCTTTATCTTGATTCTCACAAGAAGAAAATATATCTTGCCAATAATAACGTCTTTCAGATGGTACCTGTATATCAAGTATCAACACACCAATAATTAATGCCAAATTGTTCTCTTTTGTTTTAATAACAACTCTAGGCACGAAGTTCTTGTACAAGCCCGCTATATAAAAGTGAAATCAGGCTATGGTTGTAAAGGCAATGAAACATAACATTTGAAAACAGCCATTGTTTCCGGATTTCATCTCATGCATGTAAACCACTAATGACAAACACAAAACCCTGGTCATGAAATGCATTTCGACTTACTTGCTCTTGTTGTACTCAAACTCAATGTGCAGACAATCTTCGATTCCGACTTCCATCTGCAAAGGCAATAAAATTAGAAGACGAACCATTGAGGGAGGACTAACAATGGGGTGGCTGTTGGATCACACTAGACAGATGCACCATAAAATGGAATTAGGTAATGGATGAATAGAAGCAAACTTTTTTATTGCAGTCCTTATTTGGTACTCACCTTGATGCTATTGTTAATAGATGGAGGTGGGGAATAGTTGCGAACCTGAAGCACAGAATGACATCAATACAAACTATGAGAATGCTACATGACTAGTGAGTGTGAATGGTACAGAAGATCACTTATATGGAAACACCGTAAGTCGTAAATTGTGAGCAGGTTATGGAAGCATAGATAATAAAAAGTGACAATGCACAATGCTCAAAAGATCCTGGTATTCCGAGAGGAGAGAGAGAGAGAGAGAGAGAGAGAGAGAGAGAAGATCACTTATATGGAAACACCGTAAGTCGTAAATTGTGAGCAGGTTATGGAAGCATAGATAATAAAAAGTGACAATGCACAATGCTCAAAAGATCCTGGTATTCTAAGAGAACGAGAGATTACCACAAAATCCTGGTATTCCACTATGCTACTACCATAACCACGACTAATTGTGACTTTCAGAACATACCTGGGAAAAGCAAATTTACAATATGTCATAGCATGAATTAATTATTATGAACATGATGTTTTCCATCTACACTAGTGTAGAAAAACGTAAAAGGTGCCAATAGATATTTACTTCAATAAACAAAATAAGAATGAAAATATAAATAACTATCAACGTCTTAAAACTTACCTAAGTCTCACATTCACCCCGTTGTAAGTCTCATATGGCATCTCAACTGTAGAAAACTCAAAAGGATATGTTTTCCTTTCATATATCTCTCCAGGAACATCAAGTTCACGAACTGTTAACAAGAGTAATGCAATTAGAGCTTTGAAGAATAAGGTGGAAGGGATAAACAACAAATTTAAAGCCAATTAAATGAAACACAGCACCTTTTTTTCTTCAGTAAAAAATTGGAACGCCAAAATTATAATAGGGTTCATTTCTAATGTAAAAGGTTGTAAACAAAGTACCAAAATCAGTAGTTTGAAAAACTGAGTAGAAACTGTACAAAGCTAATGAAATGAAGCCAAAGCAAACTCACCAAGAGAAGTAAAGTCATAAAAGTTGCCTCTGTCAAAGTACATCTCTGCAACATAAAATAAAGTCTATTAGAGTGCTACGGTAAGAAGTAAAAATCCTAAAAAAATGCTATTGGCCAAGAAGAAAGGAACAACAATTACAGGCAGGAGCAGTTCGATTAGCATGCTGTCAACCAAAAACCAAACCTCATGCTATAATTTTCACATTAAACCTCCATCATCCCAAATCATACAAAATATAACACAGGACACTAGCAAGACAATAAAAGAAAAAAACAATACCGATTTGACCGAGAAGCTCGACTTTAACTCCATTGTGTTCGACCTTCTTCCCTTGAATTGGTTCTATATTAATCTGACAATGACAACAAAGAAAGGAAATATCTTTAAGAGGTGATCTTTATAGTCTAAACTACTCAAAATCAATTTCCTCAAGATTCAACCTTTGTGTACTATAATGCTTATCATTTAAAACAATACAATCAAACAATTTACCTTCCCAAAAATGTTTTCTTGACTTTGAAAAAGTGGGACCAATACTGCTTGGCCACTTTCCTTCTTTAAAGGGACCTACAAAATAAGATCAGAGATGAGGGGAAGAAGTATGCGATTTTCCAATCCCATACAGTTGTACTTTGGATAATAGATTCGCAATTAATAAAGCCACAGATAAATAAACCACTAAATAAAATGATCTATTGGAACTAACAAGGAGCATGAGCTACCACCTATAATATGTATGATAACGATCTTGAAAGGGAAAAATATCTCAATGTACTATTTGCATGTAGATTACCTGCTTTCGAGTTTTGGCATCAGAAAATGTGATTGAAATGTTGCAGGATGGTTTGAATGCTCCAATTAGGTAATTCTGCGACAAATTTGAAATGAGCCATATTAATACTACAAAGAATTCCTCGCGGTTTATAACCAGACTAAACAATAACGGCAGAAACCATTAGCTGTTCATGAAACCTTACCATGTTGATCAGGATAAAAAGCCCAGTTCCTAATAGCTCACTCAAGAGACCTGCAAAATTCGATGTGGACAATTCATACCTCAACACACATTATAAAGCATGCCTCTCTCGCTAATCGTGCATATATACCAAACACTAAAATCGTAGTTTCCTTCAAGACCCGAAAAGTTCACCTAAATAAACTTTAAAACTAATAGTAGTCAACTTAAGACACACATAGCTTGCACTTACAAAGGTGCAAAATTTATCTGTTTATGCACAAAAAAAAATTGTTCTAAGCTCGTAAATCACAATTTACTCACTTAATCCTACAATTTAAAAAGCTAAAACCCCAATGCATGAATTGTAACCCAAAACAGCTAAAATGCACAACCACCCAGTATTTCCAAGCTCAAAACTTGTGCCCTAATTCTCATAGATAAAAAGGATTTCCCAATTCAACTGCATATATACCTAATCGGCTCTAAATAGGCGTAAAATGGGGAGCAATTGAGATCAAAATTCAACCGATCATCAGCCTAAATCAGAAGAAAAGTAGTAAATTTACAGGGAAGATTTTGAAAACGGAGTTGAAGATTTATGAATTTCACGTACCTTATGACGACGAAGAAAGAGATCGGCGAGCGCTGCGAATTGGGGTTTTAGGGCTGACGGAGAAGAAGAGCGAAACCACCCCTTGATTGACAGTTGGGAATGAGACTCAAAGTCTATTGCTTTCTTCTTCAAGCCGTGCTCGTTCTCACGTGCGAGCACGGGACCGAACATTTGGTTTTCCCTTTGTCACATAATTTTAAGAGTTACAACCGTTTAGAACTCGTTTGGATATACTTGTACTTCCTGAAGTAAGCACATAACTAATGTTTGATATGGATGTAACGTAAAATAAATCAGAGGCTAATTGATATGTTTTTAACTTTCGTATGAGTTTTTATTTGATTAAAAAAAACTTACGTAGTTTGTGAAAACTTCCAAAGTTGCTTGAAAGATTGCCAATAACAAATCAAAAAACTTGTCTTGCTACCAGTTACATACAACATATGTTTATTTATTTCATCATATTATTAGTTTCGTAATAGAAACTCTCGACACAAGGGCGTAATCAATAAATACTCAAAGTAGGTTAACGGATTACGTATTTGTATACGTTCAAATTATTTTGTATATATTATTCTCAAGACATGACCCTTCTCACCGACGGAACCTTTTATAAAAATAAAAGCTGACATAAATTTCACAAATATGCAAATTATGAGTCGTTGACCCGTATGTTTCTAGGACTCATAAGATTAAAAGAAAAAAAAAGGAGAATATGGATGCTAGATACGATAATAGTTGTGGTTATTTATGAAATAAATTTTTATATTACTGAAATTTGCTACCCTCGCATGAAGAGGTATTCTAGGAATCCGCATCCTCGCCGGATCCTCTTTGCAAGGATCCTGAGAATCCGTGAATCATATATATTCATCGTATATCATACGGTCAGAACTCATTTTAAATGTTTTTATTTAAAATTAAATACAAATAGTATCTGACAAAAACTGATCGTACGATTTACGATAAACGGACACAATTTACGAATCTTTAAGATCCTCACCAAAATAATCCGAAGATGATCTTGTTGGTTATTATAGCACCTCAACCAGTAATGGGGCGAATCAACCTGACAAAACTAAATATTTTGTGCTATTAGATGATTTTATTTTTTGTTAATTTGACGTTTCTCGATAGAATTTTTGGCTTAGCCAGTGTCTCAACAAATATTAAACTTAAGCATCGAGCCTTAAAAGAACCAATAGGATCCCCTTCATATCCTTTTGGTGAGGATCATGGAGATCCGTAAATCGCGTCTGTTTATCGTACATTGTGCAGTCAATTTTTGTCAGTACTGTTGTATTTAATTTTAAATAAGAATATTTAAAATGATTTCTAACCGTACGATGTACAATGAACGAATATGATTCACAAATCCTTAAAATTCTCGCAAAGATGATCCGACGAGGATCCGGATTCTTAAAAGAAAGCCTCACCTAACAAAGATCAAAACTTCGATTTGTCAAAATAGTTAGGCGCCTCAAAAACTATGGGTCATTGTCCTTAAAAAGGGTCAAATACACGAGCTTAACCAAGTCAAATCAAAATTTGCACGTATATTTCCTCATTGTCCATAGAAGTCATTGCCTTTAAGCTTTTGAATTAACAAAATAATATTCCAGTAAAATAAATAAATTAAATCCATCGTCAAGCGTTATGTTACAATGGGACTAGGTATTTTGAATTTAAAAAATAAAGAGAAATACTTGTAAAATTACGAATTCACCCTTTCATGCCGCGAACCATCCAACATTTCCGCGGAACTAGAATCCAACGGCGATTCTTCCTTCCTCCGACTTCCCATTCTGAAAAGACCGTACAATTTCTTAAACTCCCTCACCGTGTGAACACTCTCCCGGCAAAAAACGCCGCCGGGTTCGCCCGACTCGTCGACCGACCGACCCGACGAACTATTCGTCAACGCCTGCGCGGCTTTGTTCGCGCCCTTCTTACTATCCACATTCGTCTGCAACGCCGAGATAACCGACTTCAAAGCCCGACTCGGCGAGCTCCGATTCGAAATCATAAGCTCGCCGATCTCCGCCGGGCTCAGACTCGCGCCGCCGTGGAAAATCTCCTCCACCTGCTGGAACAGCTTGTGTTCCTTGAGCCCGAGGTAAGTGCTGGCCAAGCTCTTGAAAGCGGAAAAATCGCAGAGCGGAAAATGGATGTGGACGTCGATCCGCCCCGGCCTCAGAACCAACTGGTCCACCTGATCCTTACCGTTCATCGTGAAAACCAACACGCGCTCCTCGCCGCACGATGATACGATCCCATCCATGAAATTCAACAGACCGGACAAGCTCACAGCCGTCGATTTCTCCGTCAAGAAACGGTCCAGATCCTCCACCACGATCAGCGACTTCGGCGTCGTTTGGAGGAGAAGCATTTTCAGATCGGAGTCGTCGGCGACTTTGGACATGTCGACGTCGTACACGTCGTAGCTCAAGAACCTCGCCATGGCGGCGACGAAGCTGGTTTTTCCGGTGCCGGAGGGGCCGTAGAGCAAAAAGCTCCGCTTCCAAACGCGGCCTAGTCGGTGATAATACTGCTTCGATTTCGAGAAATTCTCGAGATCGGACCGGATTTTATTCTTCAGCTCAGCGTCCATCACGACGGTGTCGAAGGTGGCGGGGTGCGTGAACGGAACCGATCGCCACCGTTCGTTTTCGCTGGAGAGGTTCATGTAGAGCTTGATCTCTCTGTTCCGCTGCTCGATTTCGTCGGCGACGGTGAGGATGTGCTGGAAGTACTGGCGGAACACACGGCGCTTGTCGGACCGGTTGATTTTCAAGACGAAGGAGCGGATTCCGTCTGACTGGGATTTCTCATTGGTCCAGGAGAGCTTGGCGCTGAGGAAGGTGTCGTGGACAGCGGAGTTGGCGGCGTCGTGCTGGAAGAAGATGTCGTTTGATTTGACGCCGGTGAAGAGGTTGGTGAAGTCGGAGTCCTCGATGGAAGGGAGGGAGTCGAGGTAGACGGAGATCTTCCGGTACAGCCGGTTCTCTTGGAAGTGCTCGTTGAATTGCGGGATTTTGTAGAATTGGTAGACTCTGAACCGGTCCGCCAAGGATTGCCCTAATTTTGTGAATTTGTGAACCAGAGATGTTTTGGACACGAACCGGAGAACCAGAACCAAAGAAATTGCAAAGAGCAAGAAATAGAAAAATGCCATGAATCCACCCATGATAAATGAACAGTTAGCCCAGCAAGCCCACCGCAATAATAATTGTACGCACAACCTGGTATCGGCCGAAGAACCTCCGACGCTTAAGTTAACTAATTACAAAGTGATTAAGCACATTAAAGGAGTTGTATCTAGATTTTGAGCTTCTAAACAAAGGTGAAGGTACTCCGCCTTCACGGGCACTCTCAAGGCGAGGTTGATGATGCGTGGTACTAACCGAAGAGTCTCCGCCACTCAAGTCAGCTGAATTCGAAGCTCAATTTTGGGTTGCTAAAATATGCTCCTAGTGCTATTAGGTTGAACTTAATTTGATGAAATCCAAGGAAGATATAGGGAGAGAGAAGTGGAGGTGAGGGGTGGAGATTGAAAATAATATTTGGAGGAGGAATGAGGGTTGGGGGAGAATTTAATGGGGTTTGGGTTGGGGAAATAATATATGGAGACGGCTTGAGCCGGCCAATCAATGTTGGGTCAAATCCAAAGAGCAACAATGGGCGTGTACGTAGAGAGAAATTGGGAAGAAATGTAGGTTGTACTGTTTGTATTTGGCTGTGAAACGATGACCGACGACTAAGGACTCATTCTCTCTAATATTTATTTATATGACTATTTTGAGGAGATTATTGAATAATATTGCATTTTAGAAGACTATTCACATGCGCCTCCATTTTATTCAATTTTATTGACCAACCAAGCCCTTGGTTTAATTACTACAGGCTGGTGAGTGGTTGGGGATGAAGTTTGAACTCGTATTTCACATGACACGTTTTAAGTTCAATTATTAACATCGGTGACGTAATTGGTTACTACTACATGACAGTGCAAATTAGGTATAGAAAGTGACGAAGTCTATTAGACTATGGGTTCGGGTGGTGGTTTTGTTAATGACCGAAGAAATGGTTAGAACACATTTAAAGCACATAATAATGCGTGTTTGGTTTGAAATATACTGCCATATTAACATCCGTTAGTAAGTATACTCTCATACGGTCGTCCATTAGACATAGGAAGTGTCTATTAAACTATCGGTCCAGTTGGTGCTACGAATAATTAAAACACATAATTTTTACGTGATTAATTTGAAATGCCGCTCGCCGATTGCAGATTAGGACTGGTGAAGAAATCTAATAAATTATTGGTTTTGTTGGTGGTGGTGGTGCCTAGCTAATAACCCAGGGCGCAGGGAGATCTGCTCGTAATAGTGTTCACTTTGCGCAGCACATACATGAAAAGGGGAAACCATCGGAAAAGAAAACACACACATTATTGCAAACTTAATTACTTTTCTAGAAGCAGCAGCCGCCGCATGCTGAGTTTGAACTGGACTTGGCCGCTGCAAATTCAGCAGCAGCTGCTGCTTACACCCAATCTCGACTGGATACGTGTTTGAGTTTTGATTTTTGAACAAGTGAACCGACTTTTCATGGCTTTCATTTTTTGTCATAGAGAAAGTTTCGAAAAATGCGTGTTTACGACTATCATGATGTTTTACAGTTTTAGTCTAAGAATATCTTGTCATTTGTAATAGTATAATATCAAACTGAAACATCACGATAACGGTAAATCTGTTTCGTGCTAGTTTTTCTCCCTCTCTTGCGTTGTTGGCAGTCTTATATGTCCCACAGTGAGCTTGTAGTCAAAGTGTGTGGTTTTGCTCACCAATTGCGACCTGGTTTTTCTTTAATCTTTCATTAATCTAGCTTCAAACAGGATGGTCATTTTCAACATGCAATATTAATTAATATTTCAGTTGTCAAACATATGGTGCTTACTTGAGTGAGGGGAAATGAGTAATGCAGTTACGCAATAATGCAAGTTGTTTATTTGGATTAATTGTGTCGAGATTTTAGAGTCGGATTAATGGTCTAATCTTAGTCATATTGATATTGTCTCAATTTAACTACTTATCACAAAATATATTAGTATGTTTAAGTATAAAATTATTTAATGTAAATTGTAATTTATTTTGTTAAGTTTCCGACGTAAGATTGCATTCTTCAACAAATTTAATTGGTCAAATTTCTGACATGAAATTACATTCTTCAACAAATTCTGCGTTGCAATAATTAAGAGAGCCAAAGGCACGTACTAATTTTGACAAAAAAAAAAGGCACCTACTAATGTCCACAAAACTAGTATTATTACAAGTTAATTGGAATCCGAAGGAAATTACCAAATTGTTGATTGTGACAGATTGAGATTGACTTTGGATTTCTTTTCGTGGAGTCCGCGCACTCAGCTATTTAGACCATTTAATTTCAATCTTACAATTCCATTAGTTTATTCTATTGGCCTATTTTATAAAAATTCAAAACCTTGAACGGCGTTGATCTTTTTCTCTCTTTTAAATGATCCAGATTATTTAATTTACGAACTCCAACACAAATATCCAAATGAATCTCATTCCGGCTCCGACGTATCCCTTTTCTGAAATTTGTGGCCGCAGTAATTTATTTTATTCCGCAGTATCCTTCGTCCATTCCCTGCAATAATTTTTCAGTATTTATAATGGACAGCTGTACAGTGCTGCCAATATTTGTTAACTCACTTGCAAATTGCAATGTTTCGTCTCTTGATGTCTTGAAAAGCTTGCTTTTATGAAAAGCACTCAAGTTTATAAGCTCTTTTGTTACAAGTGCTTTTATTAAAGCAATTCAGTTCATAACGCATATAAACGCGTAACAATTAAAATTTTAAGTGCCTCTAAAAATGTTTCAAATGAAATCAAAAACGTTTTTGGTGGTCAAAAACGACTAAAAGCGCTTCCACGAGTTGTTGTAGCTTTCTAGTGGAAAAAATGCGGTCCTTAGACCCTCAGGGTAATGATATGCCCCACTAAACTGAGTGGCTTTGACCCCATCTCCTAAAGCTCCCACCCAAAAATGAAAGCAACTGCTCTACTTCCAGCTATGTCCTGGACGATGGTCCTGGTCATTCTTCTACCTCATGCAACTTGCTCACCATGTGAATCATACATTGTTAATCACCACACCGGCCCACTAACACGAGTTTAGTAGTATATCTCATCATTTGTAATAGGGTTTGTCTGTTATATTGCTTTACTTAAATCGCGCCACTTTAGAATAGTATACCATTGTCGTGATTATAGGTACCCCCCATTTGTCACATAATGAACAGGATGCCCTATTAACTCAAGTAACTTGGGACATGCTCAAAGACCTCACACATCAAATGATGTCGCACAAAGTAGTATATCATTGATCTGTTTATGGGTCCCATAAGCATGAATTGTCAGGATCCGCATCCGCCCTAGCACACAACTAAACCTAGCATTTCCCTACGACAGTTGGTTTAGGGTTGAAGAAGGTACCCTTGCTGAACTGTTTAGTCTTGCACATTTAACTTGAGACAAGTTGCAACAAGAGCAAATAAAAACTTGGAAGGCAAACGTTAAATGTCAAACAAAATCACCCACTATAAACAACGTTTACAGAGTCAGAAAGGTTTATAACAGCCAATGGTTTGATTCCGAACGACGAATGTTTAACGATACAAAGCAGCTCCTTCATATCCAACAATCTGTCACTTGCTAAATCACAATATGATCTTAGGCACCATTCAAAACGATGGAACTACGTGAATACTTCGAATATATGTATTGTAAACCTAATACAAAATAATTGTACTACTGCCATGAGTCTAACGGTGTGGAGTTCAACATGTCACCGATAGGAGAAACACAAGGGTTTCGCCGGAGGTATACCCCGTGTGAATATATCACTCATCCCGTGATGTATAAGAGTTCTATATACACACGGGGATATACACCCTTGACACCCAAGAATTCCCCCACCTGTGGAGGCTTGTGGCTGGATTGGAGGTTGCGATTTCAAGGGTCCTGTGCATCAGGTTGAATATTCAAGATTTGGACCACGTGCCTCGTGAGCTCATGAATTGCAGCTTGAACTGGATAATCACCTGTCTCTCTGTTCCTTGACCACCCTGGTGATGATTGTGATGAGATCAAGCCAGTATAGTCATTTGCAGCAACCTTTGTATGTTTGGACGTTGCGAGAACATTTTCCAAATCTAACTGGGTTAATGGCCTTGGTGCCTGAAGAAAGAAGCATAGACCAACATTCTCAGTACAAACAAAACCTGCAAGCCTATTACTAGAGCTTAAACCACCAAGATAAACAATGGAAATGCCATATCTACTTACAGAAGATTTCTTTCCGTTCTTTTCTTCATTTAGTAGGTCTCTGATAGGAAAATAGGCTGCTTTCTTGCAAAGCTCAAGTAGATCCGAACCTGTGTAACCCTCAGACAAGACGGCTAAACGGTCATAATCAATATTGTCTTCAACTCTCTCGCCCTTCAAAATCACCTTTAGTATATCAGCCCTCTCTCTTTGATTGGGCATCCCAATCTCAAAGGCCTGAGGAAGACGACGAAGTATTGCTTCATCAAGTTCTGATGGACGATTAGTAGCAGCAAGAACCATAACTCGAGCATTCTCTGCATGAACAATATAAAATATCAAACCAAATGCCCTATCCAAGGAAAGAAAAAGAAAATTCCTATTTCGAGAGAAGGGGAACAAAAAAACACTTACGATCTGTAGTAAAGCCATCCCATAATGCCATGAACTCAGTTTTCATGTTTGTTAATGCCTCATGATCTGTATTTCGGCGCTGACCCAAGAAACTATCAACCTCATCAATAAATATGATAGCAGGCTGGAGTTTATAAGCCAAGCTAAATACAGCAGCAACTGCAGAAGAAAATATAAACATGGTAAGCACAGTAGATATGAAGACCACAAAAACTTCACAATCCTTGTAGAAACAAGCATAATTTGAACTCTTGAGGTAAAAGCAACAAATATGCATGAACTTTTCCTTGAAATAAATAGGGTCTAAGAAAGGATGGCTTCAAAGTAAGAGGTCAGTCGTCCCAATTAACAAGTTAGATCACAAAATAATTTCTTTTATACAGCCCATTTTGATTCCCAGTTGCATAAGTATAGAATTAGTTGGCTTACTTGACTTATTAGTTGAGATGGTAGGAAAAAGCGCTATAAAAGTCCTAACGACATGGTTATAGTTGTTCCATGGGTTTAGCTAGTTGAGTAAGTTGTGAGAAACACATAAAAGTATGGAAGCTACCAAATCAAAGCTCATATGAAGTTATCTTTCTTATTAAAAAAAAGGCCCATATTTCATCCAGCACACTCCGTTTCTGTACTTCACAACCATACAATACTAACAATGATATTCCAAAAATAAAGAAGTAAAAGATATTGTCTGAGAATCAAAGAAAATCTAAATGGTTCTACACATAAAATTGATATGGTAAGGACCGAGGACAACTTCTCAGTACATGAAGCTAATAAGATTGACCAGAATTAACAAATTAAAACACTGAACGGAATCTGAGATAAAGATACAGGTTATGAAACATGCAGAATCTAATTGAGAAGAGACAGTAGAAAATCATATACTCGAAAAGAGTCCGTTTTAACATGATCATCACTCACCGAGCTTTTGTGCATCACCAAACCATTTGCTCATCAGATTTGATATCCTGACATTGATGAAAACAGCTCCAGACTCCTTCGCAATAGCTTTGGCAAGCATAGTCTTTCCAGTACCTGGTGGTCCATACAGCAAGACACCTTTTTGTGGACCAAGAAGCTTCCCATGGGAAAACAAATTAGGCCTCTGTAGCGGAAGGATCACTAGTTCATACAAGGCGTCCTTTATATCATCCAGTCCTCCAATAGATCCAAATTCTACTTCAATGTGGTCGGGGTTTATTACATCGCAGGCTATAACATCCTGATAACGAATACTATATCAGCATTAATAAACTGAAACGTTCAAATCGACAAGTCAAGCAATCTAATGGTATCATTCCAATTTTATCGGATGTCCCCGAAGTGATTCAAAATAATTTTGCACTCACATACCAAGTATTAACAAAAATCAAATTGATTGCACCATAATGCATAAAGGAAAACAGCAAAAACCCCTGCATTTCAAGAAAACAGCACGAAAAATACCCTCTAAAACGCACATAAAAATGCATAAAGAATTCATCATCTTTCAAAGTACCACCTCAAAATTCACATATTACAAAAACCCATATCACTATTATCCAACATTTATTATTATTTCCAAAATTAAATTAAAAATCCACGAAATAGCAAGTTAAGAACAACCCAGAAGCCAGAAAAAAAGAAAAAAGAAAAAAAGGCCTCTTTACCTCATAAGAATTGGTGTTAATAAGAGGGCGGCCGAGTCGCTTGGAGATTTCCTTCTTGTGCTCCATCGCCTTCTTCGACGCCTCCCGGTTCGGGTCGAGATGCCGGAGCCCCGCGAACAAAACCAAGCAACTCAACGCCGCGCTCGCCGCGTACAGTATCAGTTCCTGCAGGAACTTGGTCTCCCTCTCCCCTGAACCTCCCATTTGAAAATTGCACACGAACTTGACTTAATTCCCAATTTCTAGTGCCCCTCTGCAATTATAGCAAATTAGGGCTTGGAGTTAAGAAGCAGGGGTTTGGATTGGAAGCAGACGCTGGGTTTTCAAGGGATAAGAGAGAGAAGGACGAAAAAGTGCCCTGCTTGGTAAACAAGCTGAGAATTTCGTTTGGGGCCGTTGGCTTTTCGAGAGAGTTTCAAGTCGGCCCGTTAGAGTTTGGGCTTGCCTTGTGGTGGTGTTGAATATGGTTTAGGCCATGGGCTTCCTTTGTGAGTGCGTTTGTTGCATCGGATTAGTTCAGCGATTAAGTTGGAGTTGCTTATAATAGATTAAGTTGGACTGACTTAGTGAAACGTTGGGTGCAACATCAGACTAAAAACCAAAATAATAACAAATTATAATATTATAATACTTAATACAAATCTATTAATATTTTATTGTTATGCAACATTTTTCTTTTTTCTAAAATACTCTCCACTCTCCCTAAAAACTTCTTCGCTTTTCTCTAGTGAAACCTAGCGAGGCCAAACAAATGCACCTTATATGTCTTACGGGTTGTGTAACATCCCACATCGCCCAAGGGAGTGGATCTTGTAAGCCTTATATGTATATTCTCATCTCTACCTAGCACGAGGCTTTTTGGGAGCTCACTGGCTTCGGGTTCTGTAGGAACTCTGAAGTTAAGCGAGTTCACGCGAGAGCAATCCCAAGATGGGTGACCCACTGGGGAGTTCTGCTCAAGTGAGTTTCCAGAAACAAAACTGTAAGGGCGTGGTCGGGGCCTAAAGCGTACAATATCATGCTACGGCGGAGTTGAGCCCCGGATGTGGTGGGGGCCCGGGCGGGGATGTGACAGGTTGGCCCATGGACTCTCCTAAACCCTAAACTATATTAATGCAGGACGAGGTGAATGTGAATTTGGGTGCATTGACTTGACTAACGGATATAAGCAATATTTCCGAACTCTTTTTTACTAAGTCAAATAAAACTAAGAAGATACTTAACATACAATACGGCATGTAGCTTAATTTGTTAAGAGCATTCACTCTTGCACCATCCAATTTCGATTCATACCTTCCCCTAATGTTGCTTACACATACAAAGATATCTCTTCAATTTTAGTATTGATTAAGAATTTGTTTGTGTATTTTTAGATATTTATGCGCAATTTGTAAATTCATAGGTAAAACTCATACCTAAATCAATATAGGTGGCAGTTGGCAGTTAGGTGTCACGCGTGAATCCTTTCGGCTCGAGATTATGGGCATAATATGGCGTCGATGATAATAATAACAAATCTTCCCTTACACTTTTCCGCACCAGAATAGTACTACATTTTTTTCCCTAAAGTAGTATTACATTCTTAAATCATTCTATTAGTTGACTAATGACATTACGCACTACAATTAGCTGTCCTAATCACATTAATAGATTAGTGGACAGCGCAATATATTTGTGGTATTTAATTTAATTACATAAAGTAATGGGTGGTGTTATATAAATAAAATTCATGAACTAAATTTGTGTATCAAATAATATGTACCACAAATTTAATACTATATAAATTTTCTTTCTATACTATATAAATTTTATACTATATAAATTTTCTTTCTAATTAGTAGCTAATTTATAACTTGAATTAAAATACAAATTTAATTAGTGCCAAATTTTATGCACCTAACATTATTAAAAAATAATTTGTATGTTATGAAAGTATTAATCCAACGAGAGTGACACGAAAATGCATTAGAGTTATGAAAATTTTCTTACATAATTTTACTTCAAAATTAGCATGAAAATATTCCCATTCTAACCATCCTCGTCCAATGAGAGATTTTTCAATGTGTATAGAATACGAAATGGTAAACCACATGTTATTATATAGGTGGTGTAAGTTGTCAATTAGTACTATGGTCTAATGGTATTCCTATTCACTTGTACGTGAGAGGTTTATATTCAATTATCGCCAAATGTGGATTTGAACCACATTATTGTTATCTCATTAGTTATTGTGAGGTTTAGCACACTTCCCCACCTCTTAGTGTAGATAATATCGTTTGTCCAATAAACAAACAAAGTTGTTTAAAGTTTTTTTTTTTTAAGTGTCCCTCTCTTTGTATAATTACAGTTGATATCGCTCTGTGTTTCAGTCACATTAAAAAATTTATCTCATCCAAGGAGCTATACCTACTCGCGATTGGGTTTGACGGTCCTCTGCATCATGTGGTTACCTTAACAAAATGAGTCTGTCATAATTTGATATTAAATTTGTCGTATCGAAATTAAGATTTTTTTACTCATAACTAAGAATGAATAATATTAGACAAATCTGAATTGTATAGCCAAGTGCAATGTTTACATATTAAGGGCTCGTTTGAATGTGCTTTTAAAGTGATTGCAAACACTTTTAGAGAAAATATTTTTGGGTTTCAAAAGCACTTAAAGTGCTTTCTACAAGAAGCACCAGTTATAAGCTTCTTCCAGGAAGCACTTTAAGTGCTTTTCTAGAATTTACTTGTATCTTTACGAATGATTGATTCTAAAAACATTTTCACCAAAAACGTTTTCAGTTATTTCAAAAACATATATAAACAAGCTTTAAATTGTCTATAATTATCGATGTGATACTTTAGTTCGACTCATGTAAATAATAAGCTTGATACTTAATCGTGGCCGAATGATCATACCAAAAAAAATCATTTAATTTCTCTTTTTATTTATTTATTATTACTTTTTATGGTCTTTTTTTTTTTTTACTCAAAATATTTTTTAATTTGTAAGGACTACAAGAAAAGCTGAGTCTTTTCGGAACCCAGTGCGCCATGTTTAAGTACTCTCACTTTGAAGGGAATGAAATGAGTCAGTACAATCTCTCTCTCTCTCTCTCCCTCTCTCCTCAATGTCCTCATACAGATAGCATCACCATACATTAGAAAACGATATAATCTCTCTCTCTCTCTCTCTCTCTCCCTCCTCAATGTCCTCATACAGATAACATCACCATATAATCTCTCTCTCTCTCTCTCTCTCTCTCTCTCTCTCTCCTCAATGTCCTCGTACAGATAACATCACCATACATTAGAAAAATATATAATCATTCCATTTGAGAAAAATGAACTAATTTAGATTTGCTCTCATAAGGTGGGTGCCTTTAGCATAAAAAACGTGTGTGGAAATCAGATGCATTTCCATCTATCTCTCTCTCTCTCTCTCTCCTCTCTTCCTGTTTGAGTGGGGTGGATCGAAAGTTGATATCATGTACTACAAACGCCTGTTTTGTACTTCAGTGTAGTACATGCAGAGACGACGGCTTTCCCTCGCAGTTTCTGCTTCTGCATTTTCTTATCGAATTATAAATGTCTGCCATGCGGTTGCCACCCCTCAAGCACTCGGCGCAAGCAGCAGCGTGACAGCGGAGTCGTGGGGGCTTTTTCTTTCAGGCTTTTAGTTTTCTCTGTAGCGGCATTTAATTCCATTAAATTCAAGACTGCATTGGGGCTTGCAAGGTTTGATCTTTCTGGTGGGTTCTTGCGCTCTCAATGCAATAAGCAATCTGGAGGATTTCAGATTGCGGATTGAGAAAAGGGTTCGTCTGCGGATACACCATTTGTAAATTTCTGAAATTTCCGGCTCGCGATCGAAGAACAAGAAGAGAAAGTTGAGGTGATAATATCATTGATGGGTTTTTGTGTTCTTTCTGTGTTTGTTTCATTTCAGCTATCAGATTAGTTCTTTAAACTCTCTGTCTGAAATGGCGTTGTGAAAACATGTTTGTATCGTTAAATTCTACAAATTTTTGTTTTTTTTTTTGTTCTGTCTGATTTGATGGGTTTTGTGTTCGTTTCATTTCAGTTATCTGATTAGTTCTTTGATGTTTTTGACTAAAAGGTCTTGAGAAAACATGTTCATATCATTAAATTATGTAAATTTACTCTCTCTCTCTCTCTCTCTCTCTCTCTCTCTCTCTCTCTCTCTCATTTGACTCAATCTGATCAGGAAGGAGGTTTCTAGACCAAATGGGGAACACAAATGGCGAAAACGGAGAGATTGAGACGTTTGAGACAGAGAATGGACATGTGAATGAAGAGAATGGAGGTGAGCCACATGAGGATTTGAACAGAATAGTCCCCATGGACAAGGCAAATTACAGTCCGGGGACTCGTAGCCAGCGTAGTTATTGGCGTAATTTACAGTGTTCTAGTGACAAAGTTGAACCTCACCACTGGTTTGGTTCCCAATCTCAATGTTTCGGCTGCACTTCTCGCCTTCGTGTTCATCCGGTCATGGACTAAGCTGCTTCAGAAAGCTGGAGTTGTATCAACTCCCTTCACCAGGCAGGAGAATACAATAATTCAAACTTGTGCAGTTGCATGTTATAGCATTGCTTATGGAGGTCAGAAAAATTTTGCCTTTGTTATTTTTTCCGTGTTGATGATTCGATTCCATAATATTCTTGAAATTTTGAATATGGGGTTTTGCTGAAATACATGGCACTGCAGGTGGTTTTGGTTCGTATCTGTTGGGTCTAAGCCGGTATATTTACGAGCAAGTTGGGGTTGATACTGAGGGGAACACTCCCGGGAGCACCAAGGAACCAGAGCTTGGCTGGATGACTGGTTTTCTATTTGCTACTAGTTTTGTTGGGCTGCTGGCTTTGGTTCCTCTCAGAAAGGTATGTTCTTTCGTCCTATCTAACTTTCGATAAAAGAACAAGGTTTGTATGAGGGAGTGAAAAAGTAAATTGGGTTATGTTTCTGAACTGCGAAATTATTGAGAAATCGATTCAGATTGCTTGTGTGTTTGAATTGATAAAGTTATTGATTCCGCACGGGGTTAGAATATTGTTTGTTCATGCAGTTTGGGTTGTGTTTGCAGATCATGATAATAGACTATAAATTACCATACCCGAGCGGAACTGCTACTGCTGTCCTTATTAATGGGTTTCATACTCCAAAGGGTGACAAGATGGCTAAGTAGGCATCTGTTTCTATGACTTAATCTTCGGTTTAAGATCAAATAGGACTCGAGTTTGAAAGAACTCTTAACATGTTGAGGTTCTTCTTGCAGAAAGCAGGTTCATGGGTTCATGAAATTCTTTTCAGCTAGTTTCTTGTGGGGTTTCTTTCAGTGGTTTTATTCTGGAGGAGAGAAATGCGGATTCGCTCAGTTTCCAACATTTGGATTGACCGCTTGGAGAAATTCGTGTGTGCTCTGCATCTTTCATTGTCCTTCTGTTTATCATGATTGGTCCTTCTCTCGTCGTTGATTGCATAAATTGTATTTTGCAGATTTTACTTCGATTTCAGTATGACTTATATAGGAGCAGGAATGATCTGTTCTCATCTAGTGAACTTATCTTTGCTTCTCGGCGCCATACTCTCTTGGGGAGTAATGTGGCCATTGATAAGGGGTCTTAAGGGAGAGTGGTTTCCTGCAACTTTATCAGAAAGCAGTATGAAGAGTCTAAACGGTTACAAGGTGTGGACTACACATTCAATTCCATTTCTTAACCAGATTCTTACTGATTTTGTCATAGAGATTTTCGAGTTCAAGTATGTAGGCAATTGAGTTACGTGTATCTTCGTTTTGCTGCAGGTTCTCATTTCCATTTCCTTGTTACTAGGAGACGGACTGTACAATTTTCTCAAGATACTGTACTTTACTGGCTCAAGCATCCACAGGAAAATGAACAACAAGAGCCTTAAAACAGGTAATTCACAACTTTGCATGGTTTCTGCTTCGTGTGCGAAAATGAAACATTTGATTTGAGAAATATCATTAAACTATTTCTCTCATGCAGCTTCAAATAACCAGAATGCGACTCTTGATGATCTTCGACGAAATGAAGTCTTCCTAAGGGATAACATTCCGGTTTGGGTTGTGTGCGTAGGGTACACCTTGTTCTCTGTCATCTCCATCATTATCATCCCGCTCATGTTCCCTCAACTGAAATGGTATTATGTTGTCGTAACCTACCTTATTGGACCCTCTCTAAGCTTCTGCAATGCTTATGGGGCGGGTCTAACTGACATGAACATGGCTCATAACTACGGGAAAGTGGCTCTCTTTGTGCTTGCTGCCGTAGCTGGGAAAAACGATGGTGTTGTTGCAGGACTTGTAGCCTGTGGTCTGATCAAATCAATGGTTTCTATCTCCTCCGATCTGATGCACGACTTAAAGACTGGTCATCTCACTCTCACGTCTCCTCGATCAATGCTTTTAAGCCAGGCTATTGGAACGGCCATAGGCTGTGTGGTAGCTCCTCTGACATTCTTTCTCTTCTACAAGGCTTTTAAAGTTGGGGATCCAAACGGTGAATACAAAGCCCCTTACGCCATCATTTACAGAAACATGGCAATTCTCGGCGTTGAAGGCTTCTCTGCTCTGCCCAAACATTGCTTACAGCTGTGTTATGGTTTTTTCTCATTTGCCATAGCAGCTAATCTGCTGAGAGATCTTGCTCCTACGAAAATCGGGAAATGGGTTCCGTTTCCAATGGCAATGGCTGTCCCATTCCTCGTTGGAGCGTACTTTGCGATTGATATGTGCATGGGGAGTTTGGTTGTGTTTGTCTGGCACAAGCTGAAGAAGAACAAGGCAAGTTTAATGATTCCGGCAGTTGCTTCCGGTTTGATATGTGGAGACGGGATGTGGATCCTCCCTTCGTCGATTCTGGCATTGGCCAAGGTTCAACCTCCCATCTGCATGAACTTCTTGGCAACTAAGTAGACCTGGATTTGCGTCGCAGACTCGTAGTTGTGTTCTTCGAGTACAGTTGCAGTAGGTAAAATCTGCAGATGCGGATTCAGCAAAGTATAGGGGAATTAGTGATAATTATCTCAAGTAATACATAAAGTAATGTAGCACGGTAGATGACTAGATGCTGGGGTTTTGTATCCTACTTCTCATATGATGAGCTAATAAAGATGCATCCAAAGAAAACTTGTGCCACATTTTGTCAAATGAAACCTGTGATTTTAACTTTTCTCCGACAATACAGTGTTCTAAACTACTCTAATCTACGGATGGTTTGAATATAGGCGTAAGAGGATCAAAACACTGCCCTGATCAGCTGGCTTGACTCACGTTTGCCATATTGCATCTTTATTTTCCCTTATGGTATGCATCTTCTTCTTCCTTCCCTCCTAAACTACTACGTTTTGTCGAAACATGGTTTTTTCAGCAATGAAATGTTATAACCTACTCGATCAATGGATGAGCGACTCGAACGCGAGCGCAAGGATTGTGACATTGTCCTGATCAATTGACTTAACCCGCTTTTGACATGTTGCTTTGCTTTCCTTTGCCTTTGTGCTGATTAAAAAGATAAGTTTGGAGCAGGTAAAGATGCAGGAGTAAGATTCTCTCCCCTCCTATTACCATCCCCTTCCATTCTCTCTTCTCATACTATTCTTTTTGTCTTATTCTTTATATAAAAAATTCAAAACATGATGTAGACGTGGCGTAATCGCAACCGTTTAAATAAAAGGGAATGGAAAGAGTGAGAGATTAGGAGGGGAGAGAATCTTACTTCGAAGATGCATGGTTTAAGAAGCTCACATCAGATATGATGGGGGAAGTGATCCTCTATATATATATATATATATATATATATATATATATATTCAATTCAACGCCTAGAAGTTGGGGTATGGAAGTAGTAAATGAAGTTGTTTGTGAGGACCTAGGAGAAATTAAGGTAGCTGTGTCAGAGTTGAGAGCAGGACAGACATCCATTTTTGGACCACCACCGATGTGTGTCAATGACAGTGATATAGTTCTTCTGGTGTGAAGAAGTTGCTGCACGCCTAACTTTGGTTCAACTTCAACTTTTCTAGGCAGGCGGTAGGCTGATTTTTCAACCCCTATTGGCATTACTTTGCTTCCACTCGCTATGGAAAGGGACGAGGGCTCGTTTGACATTGCATTTCGAATGACCAAATTCAGTATAAGATAATCGAAAATGTATATGGCATGTCTGGCAAAGCCATTGCAACTTTTTTTTTTTTTTTAAAGGTTTATAGCGAAGTGTTGCACTTCTTTACAAAGTACTTTTGAGTGTTTTTCGAGTTTCATAGAAAATTTGTTGTGTTTTTAATAACAGCGCTTGCACTAAAAACGTTTTTCATGTGTCTAGAACTATACTATAAAACCCAAGGAAAAATATAAAACATTTTAATTGGACTAACAATTGGGAGGGTTTTTTTTTTTACCCTTTCCTTTCTAGAAAGGACTAGTTGGTGGCTTTTGCCACGATAGTCCACTCTTTTGGGGGCTGGGAAGACTCACATAGCCATTTCAGCCTCTTCTGCCCACCATCATGTGATTCGCTAGCGCCAATGATCGAACCCAAAACATGTCGTGTGGAATACGAGCCTAAAAAATATTTGAAACGCCCTTATGTTGCATATAGTTGCAGATGGAGTTTCTAGCTCAGTTTCAGAAACACGTCAAGGTGATGTCGATAACCTTATTCGACCACACATGGACAAGACATCACTTCGTGGATCAACATAGACAAGACATTACATTTCTACTTCAGATGCTTGACTGTCGACAATATTGGCCAATAATACACTGTCATGTGCAAGTTAATCTCCACATAGCAATGCAACTTAAGGCCCTTCACCCACCATTGTAGTAGCCCAACTTAAGGCCCACATAGTTGTGTCCGACCCTTCAGTTTGGCTCTTGTTTGTTGGGTCTCGGCCCGCCATTAATTTAATTCCCTGAATTTTAATTAAATTAATCAGCGTTTACAAGAAATAGCAAAATCTAGAATTCATCTCCCAATTTGTACTCGAGTTTAGAAATCGTTCCTAAATTAAAATTTCATTAATTTATTTTGCTGAATTCAACAAAACGTGCATTATTGGTCTTAGTCATTACCTTTTTAAAAAAAAATCTCATATTTTGAAGACGTAACCCACATGTGGGTCCCATGTTTGTTTTTAGTCTTAATATAAAATAAAATAAATGTTATTTTTATCATATATTTGTAATATTATTTATATATCTTTTTAATAAAAATGAGATTCACATGTGTTGAAAGATCGAATTGTGTTCCTGGCACAATAATAAGTTTTGGTTGGTGGTTGGATCCCTATGTGGGAAATTGATCCTTTATGGATCCCCATAGGGAAATGGATCATGTCTGGATCCCTTCTACCTATGCCAACTAAGCAAAAAATCTAAACCTTTGAAATTTGATCAAACGGTTAAAGTTATTATAAATTTTAATAGGTTCTATTTTTTTAATTGTTGGATTAAATTTCAAGAATCCAGATTTTTTGCTCGGTTGGCCCAGGTGGAAGGGATCCGGGAGCATCCTTTCCCCCAGGTGGAGGTGCCGTTTCGAGTGCGCAGTTGGGAGACATGTTTACCCTTTAAAATTTAAAAAGCCTGTAAATTTATTGATAACAAGTGCGTAATATTCCTAAATTCGAAGGGCATTTTAACAAGGTCTCGTCCATAAATGCTCGCTTCAGCAAATTGACTTTCCACTCTGAGAAAACAAAGCAGCAGAGTCCATCTCGCAAAGCCTTTCTCTCTCGGCGGGTAAGTCCCTATTGTTCATCAATCTTTGTTCTTCAATTCACAATCTCTCTCTTATCAATTTTATTTTAGATTTTGTGCTTAAACCTTCATGGGTTTTAATGGGTATTTCAAAATTCTGTTTTCTGTGATTGGTGGAACCTGTTTTTTATTGAAATTTCGAGGCTTTGGTGCATAACTTTTGTGGGTTTTAATTTAATTGGTATTTCAAATTTGGTTTTCTGGGATTGGTTGAAGCTGTTTTTGTTGAAATTTCGATGCTTTGGTGCATACATTTTTGTGGGCTTTAATTGGTCTATCAGAATTTTGTTTTCTGTGATTGGCAGAAGCTGTTTTTGTCTAAATTTCGAGGATTTGGTGGGTGATTTTTAGCGGGTTTTAAAGTTTTCGGTGATTTTTGTATGGTGGCAGTGAAAGATGGCTTCTCATCCAAAAGTTCACGTATTCGAAGAGGTGGTAAAGCACAACAAGAACGAAGATTGCTGGATTATTATTGCTGGGAAGGTCAGATCTTTATCTTGAGTTGGATATTTGATTGTCGTACTGTAAACTTGAGTTCGCAGTTGATGGATTGATTTATCCTTTGTTTGGTTGCTGAGAAAATCTAGGAATATGAGAAAATAACCCTCAAGGACTCAACCCAGAATTTGACTATTATGTTTCTGCATGTCAATGTGCTCCTGTTTGCCACACTCCCACTCCTCAGTCCTCCCGTTGTATCTGTCCCTTGATTTGATTTTGATTTATTCAATCCATTGACTAGAAAAGAGTGAGCGCATAGGGGGAAACCGGAGTGCGAAAATCACTTCCCAGTGTTTTAAGGTCTCATTTGTACAAACATAAAGCAACTAATTTCTCGGTCGATGATTGTATGGAGTTTAGATCACATACTTGAAACAGAATCTGCTAGCTGCACCAAAAAAATTGATGGTTAGAAGAATAGGCTGATTTATCGATGGTTTGGAATATCAATTTTCAGGTGTATGATGTGACGCCATTCATGGATGATCATCCCGGAGGCGGTGAAGTTCTGCTAGCTGCAATTGGTAAGGCCTTCGATTACTTCGTATATCCTTTTATTTTCAACCTTCAAGCCAGTAGGGTTTATGAGACTAATTTTGTTTGAAAACTGTAGGGAAAGATGCAACAAATGATTTCGAAGATATTGGTCACAGTGATTCAGCCAAGGATATGATGGAGAAGTACTACATTGGTGAGATTGATCCATCAAATATCCCATTGAAACGGATTTCCATCCCGGCACAAGGGGGTCGAAAGAATCCTGCCAAGTCATCCGATTTCGTGATCAAGATTTTACAGTTTCTGGTTCCCCTTTTAATCTTGGGGTTGGCCTTTGCTGTCCGTAACTATACCAAGAAAGAGTAGAGTACCTAGTTGAATAGTTGAAATTTACAATTGCTCGTTTCAGTTATGTCGTTCTTGCTTTACGCCATTGTTCATCCGAGTATCAGTCGGTTTCTAGCGTCTGTTTGACAGATTGTACAATGGTTGATTTAAAATTAAAGGATTGTTCTTGTTGTTATTTCCATATGAATTCCTCATCCGTTATTTGTTGCTGTTGTGAGAAAGGCAATTGTTGTGTGTTGCATTTGAAACCTGTGCTGTGCTGGTTTTGGTTTTGACATTTCACCTTTTCTGCGGATGCGTTTTATCATGTGGTCCTGGACCCTCGTGCATCAGGGTAGAATTATCTCCATCTTTGACCAAAGTACATTTAGCCAGCCTCCTCAACTGTGAACGGTGTTTGACACTGTCCTTCGAACGTTCAATAACCTCCATCTTTCATTAAATCCATCACCTGCAATGCACATAATAGGCCCGGCAATACGGGTCATGTTTGTTATGTTCATGTCGGTTTTTTGTCATATTCATTATCATAACGGGTTGTGTCAAAACTGTTATCTTACTAGGTTTTTAACAGGTGACCCGATAACGATCCGATTTGTTAATGGGACGTGTCGTTTGGTGTCGGATAATGGATCATTCAAGAAATTGTCATGTCTAATGTCTAGATTTGGCAAACGATATCCTTATTGGGTTTTTAACTCGTGACCTAATAATGATCTGACTCATTAAAGAATTTTTAATAGGTGACCCGATACTGACCCGGCTCGTTAACATGTTGATCTGAAACCTGTTATTTTCATGTCATTCATGTTGAGTGAACTGACCGTGCAAAAAATTATCAAACCTAACACATAGCTATCTTTTAAGGTACATAATAATAAATACTTGAAGTCAACAAAATAATAATAAATACTTGAAATTCCAGAAATACATCGATGACTTGTAAGTTGTAATTAAACTTATGCTTGATAGAAACATATAGAGTTGACGAATAAGGTGCGCTCATTAAAAATTTAAAAATTCACAGACGAAAAAATGGCAAAAAGTAAAAGTATGCAGTTCCCTTCTACATCTTGCATCTATAATATTTTTGCCTTGGCGGATCTCCCTCTCATTTAATAAAAGTCTGAAATCTTGGTTTACTAATTGGTGAAATACTAAGCAATCCGAATTGTTTTTTACTAATATTCAAGAAAAATAGTGTTTTAAAAGAATTCATAGACTTAGAGGAACTCTTACGTTATGAGTCATGAAGAATAATAATATTTTCTTCATTCAAGATAGTTTCATTAAAAAAAAAAAAAAAAGACACTACATGAAGGCTGGTCACAAGTGTGGACGACTAAGAACTTTCCTGTTCGTAAGGGGTGGTTGTATATCTATAAATATTGGACTTTCGAGTTTGTGTTGTTTTTCTTGACGAGCTTTGATATATAACTTGCCCCTAATTGATTTTATTTATTTATTATGTTTATGTATTAGTATTTTTTTTTTGGGTCAAATATAGTAATATTAATTTTATCAAGTAACTACCCACATAGTGGGTGCTTTGTTTGAAATTTTCAAAATGATCTAGTTTTACTAACCATTGTTAATTATATTGTTTTCTTCTGGAATTTTTAATTAGGGAGGGTCATTTTTTTAGAAAATGAGAAGGGGACAGGGAGAGAGAGAGAGAGAGAGAGGGGGAAGTGGGACGTTTTTGTTTTTGGTTTTTATTTTATTTTAATATTAAAGGTATTTTAACATCACCTGTAGATGAGACTTCAATAAAAAAAACATTAAAATTTGAACCTGTGAAATTATATTATTGCCCATCATTTTTTTTTGTGTCACAGAAGACTAAGTAGTCTTTTCACCCTCTTTTGGTTGACAGAGAGTTTCATTAATTAATAAAGATAGATTTAGAGCTCGTTTGGATGTGCTTTTAAAATGACTAAAAACGTTTTTGGTGAAAATACTTTTAGAACTAATCCTTAGTAAAAAAGCAAGTAAATTTTGGAAAAGCACATAACTAGTGCTTCTTGCAGAAAGCATTTCAAGTGCTTTTGAAATCCAAAATATTTTCTCTACAAACGTTTTCAGTTATTTTAAAAGCACATTGATGTCCTGACTTTCAATGATACGACTTTCCTGTGACGTCTAAATATTGGACTTTTGGTTTTGCGTTATTTTTTTGGTGACGTTTTATACATAATTCAGTGTTTGGTATGACATTCCTACCGACCGAATCCATTCTTTAAGGGATCGAAACTCGACGAAACTGGAGCAATTCAAAGGCTCGTATTGCACAAAAGGGTCGAAAATAGCCCCAACTAGATAATAATTTACATATCCAACCACCAAAGGAACACTGAACTGCAAGGGCCTATATAGGAGAATGGTATTATTTCTAATTGGACAATTTGGGAACACATGAAAATGTGCTCCTCATCCAGTATGGGAGTATGGTTACATTAACGGATAAATGGTAAATGCTAATACAGGAGTTTTACCTGCAAATCGTGGAATCGCGCGGTAAAAACAGAGCAGAATACAATGCAGGTAAATCTGAATAGTTAATCGTTCGAAAGTTTTGACACCGCCACTTTTAAGCAAGCTTGAAGATAGATAGTCTGGTCGGAGTGAGCTCCCGAAGTGCTTATGTTGTGAAAGAGGAAAGAAGGAACGAGGAATTTGGATGCTCCGAATAACAGGATGCCGAGAATGAACCATAAGAACGAACTATGCTACCGAAATATGCAGTCATGAGAAAGATGTCTCTATCTTGTCATGGAGGTTTACTACCAGGTCATGTGCATCGTCCAGGAGCTTCCATATATCGAGTTGCCCCGAGATGCTATTGCACTCCCGGATAATCTCATCCATGCTGCTATACTTCTCGATTATCAGCTTCCTCTTCTGCAATACAGAAGCTGCGATGGCGAAGAGTAACAGATCGTCTGTTGGTGGGGCTCGTTGCCTTATCCTGCTCCATGCAGATTTTCCGATACCTGCCCTTATGGCTGCTTGATCGGCCCACATTACCTCCCATAGGCATACTGTCTGTTCGAACGTCAACTCCCTCCTAAATAGCACAACCACCATCCTATAAACGAAAAAGCAATCCTCCGCCTGGAGCTTCTCCAAGTGCCTGTATAGATGGGAGTCCTTGCATTTGATAATTTTAGAAACGATACTCAACTGCCTTCGGATCCCTACCTCGTCAAGCCTAAAATTATGTCGAGCCTTCTTCATGAAACCGACAAAACACCAGAAAGCCTCGTGATCCTCTGTTATTACAGCAGCTATAGGAGAAAGCAGGTCACTCATGCCCTGGCAGTAACCAATTTCGGGGTCATAGAGTGCATATGCTTCAAGAATAGCAACTAGTCTAGCAGCATGGAAAATTCTGCAAGGCTCCAAGTGACTGTAATCTTTCAACCCAACAGCCTCAGCAGTACGTGATGCCCTATCCTGTGACACTTCAGCTTGAGATGGGGCGTGCGGAATCCAATCTGAATTAGTCCGTACCGCATCAAGGCGTATGATCCGCTGCCAGGTGGCAAAATCCTCAATGTTTAGATTTGATTGGACCTCTGTCCTCAAGGGAGAAGATTCATCCTTGGAAGTCACGTCATGATCATTTTCTTCCCTCCCTTCACATGAGGGGAAAGCATGAATCACCTCAGGTTCTTCAGAGGAATCCGAGTCAGACGAGTCAGAGTTTACTGCTTTGGAATCAGCATTTGTGTTTTCTCTTGAACCATCATCATCTCCATCCAACAATGTACTGGAAGGGTCATCTGAGTATTCAACATCTGGTATCTTATCTTCACTAGAAAGGGATTCCCTGGCGCTAACCACATCCTCAGAGCTGGGAGAACCTGTATCATGGGTGAATCTACTACCGTCCCCATTCAACTTAGAGCTATCATTTTCGCGCTTTATGAGTCGGCGGCACTGTCTGCGGAGTTTCTCATATTCCTTTCTGCAACCAAATATTCGAACAATGTACCATAAAGTTAGCAAAGCCAATGGATAATAAAAAATATTACTCAAACTGGAAAAAGCTTCAATCAACTTATGCAATATGAAGCTACAAAAGAACTAGATGAACTTGGCACTATTACCTTTTCTGAGATCGTACTATCTCCCTTTCTTCTTTTGAACTGTTTAATTCATAGCTGTTGAGAGTCGAGACAGAAATCCAGTCAACATATGTAAGTATGGTTTCGCACTTCCCGAAAACAACACAACATTTTAATGTATATGCAGAACAGGAATCAGTACGATGGTCATATATGAATATGATAATGGCATTAAAGACATAATCACAGGAATAATTTAAGTTTTGACCAAGGTATACTTGCAGATTTTATTTCCAAAACTCATGCCATCAATTCAGAAGGAATCGCATTACTCATATTACGTGGAGGAAAAAAAAAAGAACACTTTTCTGAAACTTTAACTCCACATTGATTATGCAGCGAATAGTTCAAAAGCAGAAATGTCAGGTCTAAAGCCTAAAATGAACTTCTCTGAAGCCATAACCAGACCTAAATAAAAGCTCATATATCTAGCAGTCAGTATGTTTGACTTGGACCTAATGACATGTCTAAAAGCAATGATCCAGACTAATAGGAGAGAAAGAGCATACAATCCTCTGCCAGGAATGATACACCAAAACACCTGATGTTGGAAGCACATAACAAGTTCTATCTCGGAGATGCAAGGTATTAATGTAGCAATGTTTCAGTTAAAAACTTAAAAGAGGTGTTGAGCATGCTTACACTCCAAGGAGAAATGGCCAAACTTCTGCTCTAATACTTGGATCAACACCCTGCATTCACGAAATTTTAAGATGAATAATGTCAATGATGGAAGTTGGAACCATGAATAGATGTTACGGCATTTTGATAGCAAATATATAACACAAAAGTGACAGAAACTCACTCCACTGCGAACTTTCTTCACCAACTTAACTCCACCATCGCGAAGCTTTCCATCTGGTGTAAAGAAAAGCCTCCATTGCTGAGCTGAAAGGGCATGTTTTCTTTTCCTGCGGGACCAAGGTGACTTAAGACGAACGCTGAAAATAAAACAATAAGCGCAATTAGTAATGGTACGATTAAGGAAGCATCAGCTATACGAAAAATATCAATGTATGAATGAATGAAAATGTCAGGCCAATAAAAACATATAAAAGAAAGGGTCTGGCAGTAAACGAAAACCAAATTAGACCGCTTCAAAAGTGTGGATATTCTGCATAAGCATGCACTCGAAGGGCCAAGTCAAAGAAAATTTTCAACAGGGATTAAAGTTAAACTGCAGATAAATGCAATAGCTTTGCAGCTTAATTAATTGACTTTGAATATCCAAAACATTTCAATCCATCCATCTGTTGAGAAGATTAGTAAAAGCTAACATCGATTCGGGTTTATCAATCTTTGACTTATTAAACCACAGCATTGTTGCTCAATGGCAGCTTAATATACAAAATTCAAACACTTATAATATTAAAACATAAAAATCCTAACTTTGCTAGAACCACGAAACAAAAACAACACAAATCTTCCAGAAGCAAATCGATGCGCAAAAGAAACAACCAATGCGGCTTGCCCAATCCATCGAACCCACAATTTTTTAAGCAACTGAAAGAGTAACAATTTCCAAGGAGGACCAAAATGCGAATGAAGAAGGTGACCCGAAAGAAGGGATCCAAGCGAAAACGCCATTAAAACAGTGGAACTGAGCTAAAATTGGTACTAAAAACATGAACTTGAAGCTTCCCGAGATCGGGATCTAAGAGCGGAAATTACCGAAAACAAAAGCTTTAGAGAGAGAGACTCACCGATCAGAGGAAGAACAATGAGCTGGTGAGGAAGAGGACACGATTAACAGAACCGAACGCAAATAAATCCACGAAGACGACGACGACGACGACAGCGAAGACGAAGAATGAGATGAATTCGAGCTCGAAGGCGACGAGGAAGTCTGAGTTCGTCGTAGAGCTCTCATTTATCAGTGAATTTTTGTTCAAGGGTTTGCGTTTTTCAAGAAATTTCAGAGCTTTTCTGATAAATTTCAAAGCTTTGTTTACCTAGTGGCAGTGCTGAACACGGCCACGACCACCGCGAGCCCAGCCAAGGCCGTGACGCCGACGGCAACGTACGACGGTGCCGCCGACCATAACCCGCCTCCGCCGGAGATGAAGGCGTTCCCGGAACCGGAGGGGATCATGTGAGTAGGGTTGTAAATGACAGAAATGCCCTTGTGATCTGCTGCATCCGCTGCTTCTGGTGGGAGAGCAAGAGCAGGAGGAGGTTGGGATTAATTGGGAATTAAAATTTAATAATTTTACTCCCAATTGAAGAACCGCAAGAGTGAATGAATGAATGAATTGAATGGCAAAGGCAACTGCTTTGATTTGGTTTTTTGCTTTGTTTGTTTTACTTTGAAAGTCTTCTTCTTTGTCTCTCTCTCTCTCTCTCTCTCTCTCTCTCTCACTAGTGACTGAGTCTGTCTCTCTCTAGAATCTAGAGGGTAGGAAGAGTAGACCCCATTTTTATAAAGAGTGTGAAAGAGAGTCAAGTGGAAGAGTTGAGAAAAAAAACAAAGAGTGAAAACATAAGATCAAATCTGGATTGATTGTGCGTGGTCTCTCTGTAGTCTTTATTATTGATTAAAATGTGTTAGTTTACGACAACAAAAGGTTGAAAGGGTTAAGTTTATTAACACGTGTTCATTAATTATAAAAATCAAAGAGACCACACACAAAATGAATACAAAAATTTTGATCGAAAGTCGTAACCACAATCCCTAATTCCATTAGCCTACTAATTCTAGGTCAAGCATTTCCTAATTTTATTGTTTAACTAGGGTATTGTATACTATTATCAAGCTTTTATGTTTGTTGAATGTATTATGTTTCCTGTCACTTTATTATATTCAGGGATTATATGACTAATCAACCAAATCATGTGAGATGGGCAATTAGTCAATCAATTAGATGCATGATATTACTTCTTTCTTAATTAATAGTAAATGAATGATTTATGCACTTTGATTTTCTTCTTCTTTAGTTAATTTAATTTAACGTTCAGATAAAATAAAATAGTGTAAAAAAAGAAAATGAGCGCAGATGTTGTTTTCTTAGTTAATTGTTTCTTTGAACCACTTCTTGAATAACTAAATGCGTTTGTTTGACCAAAATACGCTTACGCATAATGATATACAATTATCTCCTATTAGTTGGCAAGTTCACCAAACTCCAATGTCATTTCTCATTGAGTGCTTGCTTCTTACCTCATTTTCGGATTTGGATTCCATTCAGATTCAAATTGTGGGGATTCTAAGGATGTTTGCATTCTAGTCGTTTATTATACATTATGTAGCCATAAATCATTTTGCATTTTTTATTATTTAAAATTAAACACAAATAATGCTAACAAAAACTTACTGTACGATGTATAATGAACAATCATGATGTGAGAATTCTAAGATTTCCACGAAGAGAATCCATAGAGGACCCTCATCCCTCCTCTTCCTCCTCCATAATTACACTAATACAACTACTCCCTTTAATTACTTGACCTCCTCAGCAATCAGCATGCTTAACTTATTTTAATTACTTTCATGCTAAACTAAATAATTAATTAACATTGTGAGAGGTTATAATACTTCAAAGTTGTAAAAACTCGCTATTAAAATCCTTAGCTCCAAGTAAACTGATGAATCATTATTGAATTGGACCTAAGAACTTTAACTGGTGGGTATTGAATACCCTTGAGCACTGTATTTTTCGATAACTTCAGCACGATTGTTTTTTACCTTAAACATATTTAAAAAGGGTCTAATCCAGTTTGACTGGGTTGATTAGGCATGACTAATTTCTTAAAGTAACGATAAAGGCATAGTGGTGTGACACTTTACTTAATTAATCATCATGTTATGCACATTTAGATAGTGAGTGCGCTCAAAATCTTGAGAGATTTTTTAGTTTAATCAGCAAATGAGATGGTATATCATGTATTATTATACAAATGATGAGATATATGTGTTAAAAAATTAATAACTTGAAAAATAAAAATTTTCACCACTTACATAAAAACGCATGATGTATTACTCAAGTTTCCGTCATAATAAAAAATTTCTCCAAAATTTGCCCAACTAATTTTGTTGTTTGTGCAAACTTTGGCAAATTGTTAACTAACAAGAAAAGTGATTTAACAAGAAAAGTGAATATCAACACGCCTTGTAGTCAACAAAATCGGGCCAAGTGCTTTTGACTTGGCAAAAGAAGGCTGTATTTTTTTTCACCATCTTAAAATGGTGTTAATGCTCACAATATTATTTATTTGATGAATTTAAATTTGAGAATTTTATGTATTTATTATACAGATTTTGAAATTTTAATTTATCTAACAATAATAAATAAAGTAGTAAGCATTCATCGTCATCATCACTAGCGGGTGATAAACAAAAATATTCTCGTAAAAGAAAAGAAAATATCTTCTTTTTCTCCTTTTACTATCCTTTATATTGTTATTGTTATTTTTCTTTATCTGTTCTTCCTACAATAGCTCTTTTTCTACTTTTTTATGTGATCATATACAAGTTACATAAAAAAAAACAGATGCAAAATGATGATCTTACGCAGGGGGTCAGGGCCCTTTGTTTTATGGCCTACACTTTGAACTCTTTTTCTATCACCTATCACTATCGTGAAAGAGATCGTAAACCATTTTGTTCGAGACGCGAAGCTTGGAAAACATTTTAATTGGAATCGACATGTAACGTGAAGAGAAAGATATAACGTGAAATGTAAAGAAATATCCGATTAACAAGAAAAACCCTTCAAAGTGCGGCCATGGGACAACCAGTTCATGCCTGCTGATGTAGAAGAATATGCAGGTTCCATCAATCTGCTGTTTCTTAAAGCATGTATCATATGGGGTTGCACAGTCTTATTAAAAGTCGTACCTACGTAAAAATATATGGTATCCAAATATAATGAATTGTTTTTTAATAAGAGCGACTGATCATCTAGTCAGTCAGACTTTCAACGAAGTTTTTCTCCTCCTTCAGAACTTATTCAACAACTAATATACATAATCACAATGGTTTTATACTTGAAAGTGTGCTCTTCTTGGTTTGGAGGATCAATGAACTTGTTTCGTGCTTGGTAGATCCCAACACCTACACCAAAGCCAAGGAGAGAAAACTAGTTATTTTAGACAACCGTTTGTTCTCAACCACACATGAAAATGAGGCTCATTTAGCCATGTTAACATGAACATGAACATGAGCAAAAGCTCTGTTTCTGGTTTAATAACATATAATAGTTATCTTCTTGGAGAGGATGAGTTTTGGCGCAACCGAAAGGTTATTTTATAAAATATAATAGTTATCTTCTTGGAAAGGACGAGTCTTGGCGCAATTGAAATATTATTTCTTTAATTGTAACCGAAAGATCATCGGTTCAAGTTGTGAAAACAACATCTTTGCAAAATAAAAATAACATTACGTACGATAAACATTTTTCCCTCGGCTTTGCAAAGAAAGAAGCATTGTTGGCTTGGGTCATCATGTAGTTATCTTCTTGGGCGAATTGCATCTCTCTATTCCATTGCTTGAAAGATTTGATTGGGAGTAAATAAAGACGAAATCTTTGAGGACTTGAATGCAAAGTTCAGAAACCCAAGTCAGTTTTTGGTTGGACGGAAATGGAAAGATACAAAGGTTTACACCTTCATCGAACTTATTAATTACGTCACTCATATGAACGAACACCATACAATGTACATACTCGATTAAACTAAACTAAATTAAGCAAGTGGATGATTGTCTGCAAGGAGTACAGATCTTCTCTGGATCTAAAAAAAGGAAGCCCAATGATCAAATGATCCGAACCGTTGAAATTTGATCCAACGGTTACAATTATTATAACTTTTAGAGGATCCATCTATTTGTAACCGTTAGATCAAATTTAAACGATTCAAAACATTTAATCCTTAGTCTTCCTTTTTTAAGATCCGGAGAGGATCTGTACTCTCTACAAGGACAAGGAGGGAGGGTGCTCCTTCCTAGTCATGTGCTCAAACTCAGGCATTGGTTTCATAAATTTCTATAGATTTGCTTAAACAAGTAAATAACCCGCTGATACTTTCATTGATAAGAGCACTTTCAAGTTTTACCTAACTAAGGCAATAATTGTCCGTTAATTGGGTAAAGACAATTAATAAAACAATTTTTACCTTAATGAATAGTAATTGTTCGAGTGCATCTCCATCCATGTCTACTCCGTAAATGAATTGTCCGGGCAATTAGCATTAAAAATAATATTAGCTTCATTTCGGATATGATTTTTAACTAATTTTGTCACATCACGTGTTATTATCCGAAATTACAATCCGTACTATTCTCTGCTTCCTTCCATTGTAGCCCGACTGATTGGGCTTGGGGTGGAGAGGATTTTGCAGGTTTTGGGGATTCAAACACGCAACTGCCTTGATTCTTTAGATTTAGGAAAACTTTCATGCAACCGCAACCGGAATAAAAGCGTTATAGCTCATTTTCATGAGAGAAATTTTAATAGGATTGTTTGATTATTCGACCATGCATCCGCTTGAGGCGAAACAAAGAACACAACCATTTGTAATTTATTGAAATATGGTTGTTATCTTATTCATTTCGCCTCAAGCAACCCGCAAAGAAGGTTGTGTAAGCAGTGAATCACAGTGATTCCTGCCCAAATTATAGAACACAAACAGGTTAACATCGACATGTATGTAGTAAAAACATCGGATGCAAGTGCAACGAATTGCAAAGCCATCGACATTCTGCTCCTACAGCTTGGACGCTGCACCCTGGTCTAAAAACCAAGTTAACTCGTCTTCGGCTGCAAGCGACTGAACAGGCAAAGTATCAGGATGCTGACTATTTCCTAGCGCTCTCTGCACGGCATCAGCTTTATCGTCACCTGTCACCACCATTGCATTATACGCAGCGGAGTTGATCACCGGGAAGGTATATGTAATCCTCTCTGGAGGTGGTTTTGGCGAGTCCGTAATGTGAGTCACCCATTTCGTCTTCTCGTTGCAAAGCGGATGGCCAGGGAATAGAGAAGCAAGATGTCCATCTGGCCCCATACCCAGAAGCATGAGATCAAACTTTGGAAATCCAGTAGCTTTTGAAGTGGCAATCACATTGCGCTCAACCAAATGTTTAAGACAGGTTTCGTAATCCTCAGCTGCTCCCTCGGCTGAAAGTGTGTCGTTAATGGCGTAAACCTGGCCAGGAGGAATCGGTACCTACCAAAATTCAAAATCCAAAATCCAAAATCATGGCTCTGACACGCAACATAGCAATTTAGTGCTTGAACACAACAATCAGAAGAACGCATACAAAATTGTACCTTGCAGAGTAAACCTTCAAGAGCAAGTTTATAGTTACTGTCGGCGTGATCTCTTTTCACCACTCTCTCATCCACCCAGAACACATGCCATTTCTCCCATTCCACCATATACATATACGGCTCTTCCGCTAATTTCCTGTAAATCCAAACATACAAAATACCCACAAACATAAAAAAGGAGTGAACAAAACAATCAAACATGCTATCGGACAACCAAAAACGCTTATAAACAGGCAGAAAAAACTAAAAGCACTTACTTTTCGAGCAAGCACTTGAATTAACAAAAAATTCTGCACGTTTATGATAGCAGAAGTGCTTAATTGGAACATACAGCAGGCGCAAAAGCACGTACTGTTGTGCGGAAGCGTCAAATATGAAACTAATAAGCTACAACGGCAAAATATGATAAGATAAATAATCCAAATGACACAAGGATTTATACTGGTTCGGCGTAAGCCTACGTTCAATTCCGAAACGGCGAGGAAATTCCACTAATATCAAAAGGAGATTACAAATAGAGTTTTAACTTTCAAACCCAAATCCCACATACATCCAATGGTAAGGCTCTCATCTGATGCCGCTCCCCCACCTCTCCCACATTCGGCTGCAACCTTTTATCCATACAAAAGCATTCAATAAAAAATCCAAAGTTCCTTTACAAACATCATCATGACCTTCCTTTTTCTTTTCAACAAACATCATCATTGTGTCTTTACTCATGATGATGTCCACCAAACTTTTCTTTGTTTAGTTTACTAGCCGAAAGTGAATGCCAAGTTGGCCACTAATTTGGTCACTATGCAACACCTACTTTTCGAGTAAGCACGTGAATTAATAAATATTTCTACATGTATATGATAAAATCACTCCTGAGTTCTAACGTAAGTGTTTACAACAAAAGCACGTACTTTTCCAGAAAGCATTTGAATTAACAAAAAAATTGTGCATGTTTATGGTAAAATCACTCCTATCAGAAGTGCTGACAACAAAAGCAGGCCCAACAGCACATACTTTACGAGCAAACATTTCTACATGTTCATGATAAAAGCTTATACATAAGCAGAAACAAAGCAATCCGAAATTATTAAAAAGGAGAAACGCTTGAGGATGGTTTGTTTCTGACCTGAGCGTGTAAATGAGAGAGCCGCCGGACAAAACGACGGTGAAGGCTCCCCTCTCCTTCTCAAACTTGGCCGAGAGGTCGGCAGTGTACTTCGCCAGACGCACCGCCACTTCCTCCTCCGTCTGAAACTTCTCCACCTTCTTCTGACACTGACCCGCCATATCTGCTGACGCCGATGATGCGGAAACTGGGTTCTTGAAATTCGAGCGAACGGGTTTAATCGAGAGGGATAGAGATATTGGTGACGATCGGAGTGAGATTCCCGGCGCGCGAGATGTACGCAATGAGGAGAGAGTCGTGCGGAGTGAGAGGGAAAGACGGGTCGGGGAGCATATGGAGGCCATGCGCACTGCGCACCCGGGCTTACTGGCTGAGAAAATGGCAGACCGGGCACCGACAGTCATACGGTGAGTGAAGAAGTAACGGTAGGGCGTGCGGTAGGCGGGAATTTGTCGGTAACTGTTAACTGAATTCGGCGTAAACCGAATGAACTCGTGGGTATAAGTTAGGGCCCGTTGGATACTTTTCGTAGGAAGTACTTCATTTAGAAAATGCTTTTGTTGGAATCACTTTTTCTTTTTAAAGGATGCCGAAAATATGCTCCTACATTAATCGATCCGGGCGGCGTGAGAAGCTTGTAATTCAGTTGTTAATGCGTTTATAGGATTTTCATGATGTTTCGAAGTATGAGATCTTTTGAGTTTTTTAATTATTAAATTTTTGTTAACAACTATGAAAATTAAGATTAAACGGTTAAGATATTCGTAATACTCTATAGTTCGGAGCACATTGAAATTTTGTATGTTTGTTCATGCATGGAGTTTGATTTTTCCACACTCTATCGCTTAAAAAGAAGAAATATGATACGATATACGTGAATATGAGTTAGTGTTATTTGAAGTTGTTTTTGTAAGAAACTCTTAAACTTCTATACATTTTAGAACGATTTTTTATTATAAGCATGTTGAATATGACACACGTTGACCTAAAAAGCCTTTTTTAGTTCCAAAAACACTTTCTATCAAACAACGTTAAAAGCACACTCCTAAACTAAATCAAACTTACCTTCATCGACCAAACTAGGTCAAAAACTACGAGCTAGTGGCCCAGTGGTAAAAGACAAATTGTGAGGCTTCCTTCAAACTAAAAACTGGAGGTCTCGGGTGCAAAACCCGTTGTTGGTGTGGAAGCCAAACTTGCAGTCAGGGGAGGTTGAAATGCTTTAGTGAGTCTTTTCGACCGCGGAAGAGGTGGATAACCATGACTTGCCACCAGTTGTTCCCCTTTTAAAAAATAAAAAACCAAACTAGATCAAAAGTACTTTCAAAATACTTCTCCTAAATTGTGAGATAAGTGATTGATAAGGATTGAAAAGGATTTATAAATGTGTTTTCAATAAGTGATTGATTTTTTATTTATAAATTTTAATTTTTTTTTTTTTACATGTTTATGACAAAAGCAATTTTACCATAAGCTCTTCTGTATAAGTAGTGCCAAACAATTCTTTAATCATTTCGGGCCGAGGCCCACTTTTTAAAATTATTAAACACAAGCCCATTTTGTTCTTCACCATTTTTTGGTGAAAAGCCCATCAACCAACAAAAACCCTACTATAAACCACCGAAGAGCAAAACCGCCTCGTTGCCGCCGAGAGAGATACACACAGACAGCGGGAGAGGAAGAGAGAGAGCCGGAGAAGATGCAGATCTTCGTGAAAACCCTAACAGGGAAGACTATCACCCTCGAGGTGGAGTCTAGCGACACCATCGACAACGTCAAGGCCAAGATCCAGGACAAGGAAGGTAACACTTCCACCCGTAATCTAATCTCTCGGATTTTTCCAGCGATCAAGTTTCTTGCTCGAATTCAAAGTAGTACGATTTTGATGGTGATGATTTCGCCGGCTAAATGTTTTCAATTGTGTAGGTATTCCCCCGGATCAGCAGAGGCTCATTTTTGCCGGGAAGCAGCTTGAGGATGGCCGTACTCTCGCCGACTACAACATCCAGAAAGGTTAGCATTTTCGTATCCCTTGTTTGGTTGCTCAGAAACTGCTGGGTATATTTGGTTGTGAATAATTGAATTTAATTGGATCATTTCACCTTCAGAAGCTTAGTAGCCAAATCTGTAGATTTCGTCGAGCGAGTTATGTTTCCTGTTGCTATGTGATTATGTTTGGAGTGTTTCACCTTCAGAAGTTTAGTGCCCAATTGACAGTAGCGATAGTTGAAGGGCTCGAGGCCAATTTTGGACCCGCTGATGGCCTAATTTATTCACGCCGTTGGCAATTTTTTTGTGTGTGTTAATACTTGTGCATCGGTGCTAGCTGTTTTTTTATGTTTTGCTGGTTGAAAGTTTATTTGGATCTGATTTTTCTCAGAATCAACTCTGCATTTGGTTCTGAGGCTTCGTGGTGGGATTATTGAGCCGTCTCTCATGGCATTGGCTAGGAAATACAACCAGGAAAAGATGATCTGCCGCAAGTAAGTTTCCGCTTTACTGTTTCTCGTAGAAGAACTGATTAAGCTTTTCTTATATAGATTTACTTCAGTTCTCTAGTTATACTCCTAATTTTAAACACACTGCGCTACTTTGACGTTGTTGGATGCTAGCATCTTCACGTTTGATCTCATATAACTCTTTCGAGACAAAATCTATGTGTTCTTTTATATAAAAGGATTTGGATTTAGAAAAGAGAATGTGGATGAGTACTTACATAGTTACATTGCCAAATCCCAATGTCATATTGGATTTAGTTTAAGAAGACCGAAACCATTCGCCTGACTTAATCAAGTGTCTAACTTTCTTTAGTTTGAGAGTTCTTTTGCTTTTCTTTGATTCTCATTGTATCTCACATATATAAATGCTCGTGAACAGGTGCTATGCCCGCCTGCACCCCCGTGCAGTTAACTGCAGGAAGAAGAAGTGTGGACACAGCAACCAGGTATTTCATATAGTTGATTGAATATCGATGTCTGTTTGATCCTGCTACATTCTCAACCTTTACCGTTTTAGTTTTGTTCTTTATTCGTGTTATCTTTTATTAATGCAGCTGAGGCCAAAGAAGAAGATCAAGTAGACTGGGAATCGAGACAGGGGAACGTCAAGTCTTTTTCCGGTCATTTAGGTCTTGGGCCGTTTCTTTTAAAACTTGGTTAGAACTTATTATGAGAAATGACTTTCATTAAGTTTGAATCTCTCTATATCGAGTCGTTGACATGGCTAATGCATACTTTGATTTTTGTTTGTTGAATGAAAGATGGATTAGTGTATGAATACTATTTTCCCTTCCATTGTTTTTTGCGTTATTCATAATTTATGATTCTACTGAAGACAAAAGGTGCCGAGAATCGGATGGAAGGCGTTTCAGTAGCCATTGTTTTCCTTCCATCTCCTCATAAGGACATTCGGAGAAGTTCTGGATCACCTTGTCTGGAAAATGTTTTGGATCATCTTCCCAGGGGACTCCCTCGCAGCATCTTCTAGCTGAAGCAGCTCCTGTGAACTCAGGCGCCAACCGAGAGCACCCAGATTTTCTTCCGCTTGTTTCACGGTCTTGACTCCGGGTATGGGAATGGTCCCCTTGGAAATGCACCAGTTTATAGCAACCTACAAACAGAATTCAAATCTTGCTTAGTCTTGCAAATTACGTTACTTGTGCCGTAAGTAAGCCGCATCGAAACAGGTAACAAGACGTAGAATTACTTGCGGTACGGTTTTACTCCTTTTTTGTGCAATTTCTTTGAGTGAAGTCAACAAGGGTTCCAGTCCCGGAAGAATTTGCCTGAATAGGAAGGATCTGCAGAAACACCGATGCATTTGTAAACAGTGTGTACTGATTTGGTTCAGGAGAGATAAAGAAACCACGTACCGAGGTCCGCGTGGTAGATTGGATGGCGTATATTTCCCAGTAAGCATTCCAAGTCCTAGAGGGCTATAAGCAATCAGGCGGATGCCGAGAGAATCACATATGTTCTTGATCTCCAGCTGATCTTCTCCGACGCTCAACAACGAAAATTGCACCTAGAATCGGGGTGTTATCTATAAGATTAAAGAGTTTCAGTGCACCAGCATGTGCATTAGAAACTGTTTGGCTTCATATCTTGTACAAGCAATGGCGTACCTGAGCTGAACACAACGGGACTCCCCGAGCTTTTAGGTAATCGTGTATCTTTAGAAGCTGCTTCGGTCCATAGTTGCTGACCCCGACAGCACGAACCAAACCCTTCACGATACCATCTCTATGAGTATGACCATTTCGTGCTAGTCTCGAAAATTCATCTCTGAACGCACAAGGCGCCTTTAAATCATTTGCTTACCTTGTCATACATTGCAACTAACCCGTCCCAAAGCGCTGCTTCTTGCAGAGGATTGTAATTTGCAGTCGACCAATGCAACTGTCCTATCCCAATTTGTTCGATCTGCATACGATCAATCGAGGCACTGGAAACAGCAGTCAAGTAAACTTGGGGAAAGGAGAGTTATTCCACACAATACAAGCAAAGTAAGAGTCGAATTTGAGAAGTGTACTTGCAAGCATTCACGAACTGCCCTGGGGTTAGGCGCCACGGGTAGGCTGCAAACTTGGTAGCAATCACGATGTCCTTCTGCACTCTCTTCTGCCCTGAAGATTTGTGTTATTTAACAGCTTAGGCTAACAGACATTCATCGTCAAACCACGAAAAATATTCTCATCCCATCTCTACATTGTTGGCTCATTCTCTGACAACTTAAGTTTTCTGTGAAGGGTGTAACCCTGTATAGTGTAGGGCGAGGCTACATCTATATGTTTGTCTCTGCCCTACTGGTCATTTGCACGTAAGGGAGGGTGTAAAATTGATATCATCGTCGGCTTATTCCTTAACAACTTAAGCTTTTGAGGTCTAGGTGGTTGCCTAAGGGCTCGTTTCTCTAAAATATGCTTTTGCTCAAAAGCACTTGTACAAGAAATTAGACTTGTATGTTGTATCCCAAACGATATATCAGAAGCGCTTTTAAGTATTAGAAAGCACTGCACCAATCAACTACAAAACTAAGTGATAAAATTGAGAAGAATAGCAAGAGCAGACCTTGATAATCTCGGATGAACTTCCCAAGTAGCTTTTCACTCTTTCCGTTCAACCTGCCGGTGCCGTAGGAGTCAGCGGTGTCGAAAAGGTTGATGCCGTTGTCGACAGCCAGATTGAATGTCTGTTGGAGCTCACCGTCCATCGATTCCTGGTACCCCCACAGAAGCTGGTTGCCCCATGCCCAAGTTCCAAACCCCATTGGAGACACACTCAGTGGGCCCACCTTCACCTGCAAGCTAAAGCATGCTTTATGCTAGCCACTTTGTACATGTACAAAATGCTAGACAGAGAGAGAGAGAAATACCTTTTGCCATGGCCAGAAGGGAGGGAGCTTGAGGGGCTTGAAGGGAGAAGAAGGGAGGGAAATCTCACTTGAAGAGGAGCTGAAGTAGGCTGTGGCTTTTATGGTTAAGCAAGCCATTGATTCCGCAAAAAAATTGTAGCTCAAGCGGTTAAGAATATTTATTTCCGACGTTATACATTCGATTTCCTAAATCTATCTTGTTCCTCGAACCCTCTGCAAGTCACTTTGGGAAGACAATTGAGGGGAACAAGTGCGCGATCATGTACAAAAGTATGTGGTCAGGATTTGGATAGCGAAAGTGAATTACTAATGGGCCCACAAAGCCCAACTGGAGAAGCCCAAATAAAAAAATGAAAAAATAATAACAAATCGAGGTTTTGACAGCTGTGGGATTTGAACCCACGCCCTTTCGGACCAGAGCCTAAATCTGGCGCCTTAGACCACTCGGCCAAACTGTCCACTTGATCAACTTTTTCATTAGGTTTATTATTATGCAAATGATGATATTTTATTCGTGTCCTCTGCCTTGCGACAGTTACGCTAATTTAATCTAAACAACAGTACGAAGATTCGAATGGAATGCCGCTAATGGAGCACCTTGCTCTAGCCAGTTTGACTAAGCTTGGGCATATAACTTTTGCCTCTCGTTGGATTCACTTCTGTATATTCTAAGGTTTTTGTCTGACTTTGATAATTAATTTTTTTTTTTTTTTAAATCCTTCTAAATCGTAATTTGACTAGTCCTTCATTGTAGTGATTCGTAGGATATACAAGATTCAAAGGATTGGTTTTAACGTTAATTTTGCTGGTTGGCAATTAAGTGCGGCTAGAAAACTGTGTTTTGTAAACCTAATACCTATCTTTGTGTACAAGGCAAGACGTTCATGTCATATTTGAACAATCTCATGATCCTGCAACACACACAAACACATACACTCATGCATGGATTTCTCTCATTAAATAGTCTGTTATGAACAATTAGCGAACCAAATTATGTAACAACTCGACAAGTATTGAGCTCAGAAGAATAAGACGCTGCATAGTTACTGTTTGACGTCGATAGAAGCTGTTAGTTGACCTCAGTACATGGATTACAAGAAAAATTCCACACCAATTACACCAAACTTTTATGTGCGGGGTGGGGGGGTTGGAAATTTCAGGTCCAGAAATTTAACCAGTGTGAATTACAACGATCAACCAGAATGTTGCCTGAATCCAACCTATGCAATCCTTGAGGTGTCAGAGAGGCATCCAATTGACCAATGTTCAGAAGATCGTGTATTTCATCTCCAAACTCCCCACCAACATCATGGCTTGTATGTGAATCTATGGCTCCTCTCTGCTCCAATGCCTCTTCTAGTCTTACTCGAGCACTAGTCTTACAATTCCCTTCTTTGTAACTCGATCCATCTGCCGTCTGATTTGCGAGAGAATCTTCGGGAGGGGCGCCATCGCGAGATGTTCCCACAAGATCGTGTAACTTCTGCAACTGATAAAAATAACCCAAAAAATGTTTAGTTTTGACTACTAAGCTAGAAATTTTGAATGCACTTTCATGAACACTGTTTGGCTACTTACATGTAACTGCAAATCACATCTGACAAATAAAACAGCTTATGCACGCATGTCAAACTGTAATTTTATTTATAAACACGATGGGCTTCTCACAGCCAGGTATATTTTTCGATTTTCGGATTGTAAGAAGTTGAACAAGGTTAGTTACTCTACCTGCATAAGCAAAGACTGCTTCTCCTCCTTCAAAGATTCAAACCGAGATGCTAACTTGTCATAATCTTCTCTGAGACTTCTGAGATCCTGCTCTATCTGTTTGGACTTCCATCTAGCTCTTCTGTTCTGAAACCATATTGCAACCTGGCGAGGTTGCAGCCCAAGCTCTCTTGCCAACTGCACCTTCCTCCTTGGCTCGAGCTTCGAGTCTGCTTCGAATATAGACTCCAACAAGCTGATTTGTTCGTCGCTAAACCGCCTTGTGTTCTTGCTCTTGTTCTTCTTCCTTTTCATCGCAGACTGTGGCTCTATGCCGTAATCTAAGTTTTCTTCTTCATAGCACTCCTCTTTACTCCTCTCCATGACTTTGGTTCTCGATTATTTTTTGTTGGGCTTGATTGATATCGACTTGTAATGCTTTCAACAATAGATGAAAAATTAATTATTAATTTTTAAGTGAATGTGGTTTTGAAATCTTGGTAATGAAGTGAGCTTGTAGTATATATAGTTAGGGTTGAAGAATATATCTTCTCACTCACGTGAACACAGCACACTGAAAAATCTCTCCTCATAAACACGGTTGTTTCTTATATTTGAAAGTTGTTGATTGATGGATGATCGTAATCCAAACCAATGGTGTTAGCTAACGTAAGACACACGTCGAATTCATAATTTCTTGCTTGTGGACCTCTCTAATCCACTCTTATCTTCTTTCTTCCCCATCTCTAGAAACACTACTGTTACATATATGTGTTTCTTTCCCACACAAACACACAATTTTGGCTTGTGTATTGTGCTTCTCTTCTGGTGGAAATAATGTGAAAAAAGTGCATGCATTAGACAGTTGCAGGGTTTGTAAAGAATAAACTTGAACTTGAGTTGCTTGTTTACGTGCCGATTTGTAGTCCGTTTAGGCATGTCCGAATTGCCATTCTCGTATTATATGTACTTTTTGCTTTTTTGACAATGAACATTCAATAATACAAACACTAGTGTACGATTAATTTTCAATTATGATAAAATCTTGCATGTTACTCTTCTGTATACAACCGGTAAAATTGTATAATCTCACAATCACGAAATCATTTATTTTTCTAAATTATAAATATTAGAAAATCAATTGGCACTCGCATGAGCGTATATCAAAAGACTAGCATGACACATAAAATTTGCAGTCTGTCAGTGCGTATTTCAATTGTTATTATGATTTCTATGTACCTTTTGCTTTTTGACAAAGGGAAACATCCCAACAATTCAAGCACTCATGCTTCTTTCTTGACTCTTGAGTTTAACATAAATTTGTAACTTAGCAGTTAGTGACATAACAAAATTTCTTCAATCATAAAGTTTAATGACTCAGATATTATTTGTATTAGGAATTAAAAGTAATAGGACTCAGGATGACATAGATGATGAAACATACTATAAAAAACTTAACTTTCAGAAATATCTAACGAGTCGTCACTTAGTACTACGATCTAGTGGTATTCCTCTTCAATGGTAAGTGAGAGGTATTCAGTTGAATTCTCGCCAAAGACGAATTTGAACCACATTATTACTAGCCTATTTTAAGGTTAAATCTAATCCGTTTCCTTAGTGTAGATAATATCGATTGTTAAATAATAATAATAATAAAATATCTAACAAGTCTCTGGAAAACCGATGGTCGCGCATATGGCAAGAAGATATGGTTAATATTGTATGAGTTGGATATGGTCATATGAGATAAGTTGATGGTTACTTTAGATGAAGATAAATTTGCGTGGCCTAATACCGACAAACAAAACGTCCAATTTCAATTCAATTGTCAAGTTGAATCAAAAGGAGAAAGCAAAGGCCAATGCTTTTTTCAATAAAAGCCAATCATATCGATGGGGCTGTGTGCACCGATCCTCCATTTTTTTTGGTTTCTAGTGTTTAGCTTCATCCTTCTATTCGATGCGTCTAATTTTTTATACAGCTTCATCTTTGTAAGAAAAACTTAGTGCACAATTGAGCAAAATGATGTTCTAAGATTTATAGAACGATCTTGTTTAGTAAGATAAAGTTTTGTTATTCATGTTTTTTAGTTTCGTCCTCCTACTCGATACTTCCATTTCTATAGGGCTAGGTCCAAATCGTTTTCAGGGTTTCATGGTTGGTGTGGCGTCCTATCTAGTCTCCATGAGACGTGCTCACTTCTCTAAAATTTATGCAAAGCCTTTTGGGATTAGGTCACACTTGCACGCTACGGGAGCACTTTATCAGTTTATCATTAACATTGTGGCAAGAAATAAAGGGTTGTGTTATGCAGTATTTTTTAAATAGTTAAAAGCGTTTTCAGAATGATTTGAGAAGTGCACCGGTAAAAGTGTTTAGACGACTTTTGAAAGGACTAAAAGTATTTTCTCTCAATTGAAATCTCTTTTAACTTGAGCCTTAAGGGGGTTGTCAATTTAGATTTCAGAAGATTTTAATGTACTTCTTTTAGGTGACAGATTTCAAATGATTTTAATACTCTATAATTTCTTATGGATTTTGATGAAATCAAAGTTTGACTACACCCCCCTTAATTTGACAAAAAATGTTTATTTGAAAGCACATATGAAGAATCACCTATTAGATCCAACTTCATAAAGCATTTGAATTTTCAATAAAAAATTTTGGTGTTTTTAATTAAAAACACTTAGCAAAACCTTGTATGAACATAAGCAATCCTAAATCAACTCTTAGAAGGGTCCAAAACACTTTCAGATAATAAAAACGTTATGATTCAAAGGGCACTCGCAAAAGCGCTAACAAATTTTTTTTACATAACATCATAAACAAGCCTTAAATAGTAAGACGAACTTCTGTTTTCATTAGATTCCAAATTTAAAAGTGATTAGCTCATGAGAGAACTTATGCATTTTGTTGCCAAAAGCTGTCCATAGACAACACTCTCCTTCTTGGCGGAACTAATGGTTTCATCCATGTCCTCGAAGTATTGAGCAAGCTCATTGAGATTCCACATAAGAATGGAGTGCCGGCTGTAGGTATTGAGCAAGCTGGGACAAAACTTTGTTGTCCAAATCCAAGTTACTTGGCTGCCTTTCGTGCCAGGACTGGAGGACTAGGATAAGCATAACGAAGATTAAAGCTTTCATTCCCTCCTCACCAAACTTTGCTTCTGAAAACGACACCGTCATTTGTCTTTAAACGACCATGATTAGCATTTCTTGTCGTCCCGGTAAGTTTGGTGTACATGTAACGTGGATAACCTTCCCAAATTCATACTGTTTTAACTTGTCAAATATCCTTAGTTGGCCTTTGGTGTTTAGGTGCTTTGCGAGGACAAGTTTCGGCGAGCGATTCGTGCCAAGTGTGCGAGCAAAACTTTGGGGGATAAAAATCTAGAGGTGATGACTTGTTTGGCTCTCTAATCATTAGGAAGAAGGGATTGAATCGCTGTCGTTGTTGCATGGTTTCAACATCAACAGTTCGCCTTTCCTTCGTAACATGTAAGGTCTATTAGGTGGTCTGGTTGGGATAGATTGTGATAAGCTAAAATGGATTTGAATCCAATAATTTGTTTGTTGAGTCAAAATGTGAGAGGACATGACATTTACAATAGAATGAGTTATTTAATCTATATTAATACATAAATTAAAGTCATATCTTACATATCCCTATCGATCCAATTCTTAAGGCATAATCTCATTCAGCCACCAAACGAGCCCGTACAGATTGACTATTAAGTTTGGATTCATTACCTTGCTCCTCAAGCTATAAATGGCCCTAAGCTCTATAAACCATATGTTTTATATCACCAAACCCAATTTCCAATTATGTTTGAAATGTCAGCCGCATCGCACAATTTTCAAGTAAACAGCAGGTGCTCCTCCAATCAAGCATTTCAAAGAAGCACACAGCAGCTGATTTTTCAATAAAGTATTTTAAGTACCTTTTTCAGCCAACATTTACTTTTTAACTTTTTCTATTAAACACTAGCATGAACACTTTTAGCAATCTGAAAGTAATTTTTAGTTATTAAAAGCATACTGAATTTTTCAATAAAAACAAGAAAAATTAATGAAAATGATTTGAAAATTTTTAGTTTTAATTAAAGAGACAAAAATGTGTTGTAAGTGAATTATACCAGGATTGACTTTTTAGAATAAAAATATCTTTAACGTTAAAAGACAGTACAAAGTGTTAACATATAACCATGTCTTTTATAAAACACCTCCGTGTGCCATGTGCTTTTCTAACTGAGGAACACTTTTAAACTTTTAAACTTAGCAATAGTGCAACACATTAGAATAACCATACATAAATGAAATGGTGCTTGATGGAGGACGGCTGCGCTTTCTTTTCCACCACTTCTGGGGCGTCGGTTGGTTGGATCTTTGGTATTTGCTGGGAATGGTGGTGCATGGTGGAGGATTCCGGTGCTTTGATGACGGTTGAGGTGCAGGCGGCTTTGGGCTGTTTTGTTTTTTAGGTTTTCTTTCTGAGCCCAATTGTCTGTTTGCGCTTTATTTTGTATGGAAGGTTATTTTTTTATTTTGTGCTTGACTTGTAATTTGATCTCTTGTTATTTATATTTGTCGTGTTGGTAATGAAATTTACCTTTGATGGAAAAAAAATGGGGCTTTAAAATAGCCCTCATAAGGTTAACCCAAATTTGCTGTTGACTTCTTCAAGCTTCTCTGAAATCCAACATGCTCAATCATACGAACAAACCACAATTTCACAATTTCACAATCTTCCAATGGTTTGGGAAGCTTAGAAAAGAATTCTTCCCAGTAAGTCTTCTTTTCATATGCACGCGAAGAGAGTCTAATGAATAACTTCTCCAAGACCAACCCTTCATTTAGCAAACCCTTTACTGCCCGTTGCGTCTCATAATCTCTCCCTTAAAACTAATAACTTCGACCACCTTTAGATGCGAAAAGGTACAAGGAGGCACAACATCCTCATTTGATATAGAGCAACTTTCTGATTGATCAATGTAATAAAATACATTAGACATCTTAACAACATAGAAATTATGTAAGGTTATCACGGAAGATGGAAAGAAACAACCTGAACATTTCAAGATGGAAAGAAACAACCTGAACATTTCACACTCATACAGCTTCAATCCAATACGCAATGGTCTTATTGACAGGGTCAATTATATCAGCCTCACAAGTAAGAAGGAACCTATTTATGAAATCTCGAAAGAGAATTGCCCTTTCCAACTTAGGTATGTAGTAGCAGAAGTGATGCAAGTCAATGTTGGAATTCAACTTCCATACGTATTTCCACCTTTTTTTTATAATATGCTCGTTTGAACCGCTTCTCAAGGTTCGAAGAAGGATATGATGTGTTGAAGAATGTCGTCACGAATAAGACTTGGTGCTTCGCTCAGATATATGGACATATTGGACCAAATTTCATTTGATTTCTATCCCCAAACATGACGCCAGGAATAAGATTTAGTGCTTTGC